TTGCTTGAGCAAATTAACACATCCCCTAGCACCTGGTATACAGCCATTGACTTGGCAAATGTCTTTTTCTCCATTCCAGTCCATACGGCCCACCAGAAGCAATTTGCCTTCATTTGGCAAGGTCAGTAATATACCTTTACTTCCTACCTCAGGGGCATACCAATTAACTGGCTTTGTATCATGATCATATTCAGAGAGACCTTGATTGCTTTTCCCTTCTGCAAGACTATCACACTGCTTCATTACATTGATGACATGCTGATTGGATTCAGTGAGCAAGAATTAGAAACACACTAGCCTTACTGGTGAGACATTTATGTGGCAGAGGATGGGAAATCCAACTAAAATTCAGGGACCTTCTACCTCAGTAAAATTTCTAGAGGTCCAGTGGTATGGGGGCTGTTGAAATATTCCTTCTAAGGGTGAAGGATAAATTGCTGCATTTGGCTCCTCCTACAACCAAGAAAGAGGCATAATGCCTAGTGGGCCTATTTGGATTTTGAAGGCAGCACATTCCTCGGTTGTATTACTCTGGCCCATTTATTGAGTGACCTAAAAGCTGCCAGTTTTGAGTGGGGTCCAGAATAGAAGAAGGCTTTGCAATAGGTCCAAGCTGCTGCACACAAGCTGCTCTGCCACTTGGGCCATATGACCCAGCAGATCCAATGGTGCTTGAGGTGTCAGTGGCAGATAGGGATGCCCCATAGGTGAATCACAGCGGAGCCCTCCAGGATTTTGAAGCAAGGCCCTGACAACTTCTGCTGATAACTACTCTCATTTTGAGAGACAGCCCTTTGCCTATTACAGGGCTTTAGTTGAAACTGAATTTTTGGCCATGGGTCATCAAGTCACCATGCAACCTGAACTGCCTATCATTGAACTGGGTGCTTTCTGACCTATCTAGCTATAAAGTGGGTCATGCACAGCAGCATTCCATCATCAAATGGAAGTGCTATATACATGATCAGGCTCAAGCAGGTCCTGAAGGCTTAAGTTACATGAGGAAGTGGCTCAAATGCCCATAGTCTCTACTCCTACCACCCTGCCTTCTCACCCCAAGCCTGCACTGATGGCCTCATGGGGAGTTCCCTATGATCAGTTGACAGAGGAAGAGAAGACTAAGGCCTGGTTCATAGATGGTTCTGCACAATATGGCTGCACCACCCGAAAGTGGGCAGCTACAGCCCTAGAGCCCCTTTCTAGGACATCCCTGAAGGACAGTGGTGAAAGGACATCTTCCCACTGCGCAGTGAACCTGGTTGTGCACTTTGCATAGAAGGAGAAATGGCCAAATGTGCAATTATATACTGATTCATGGGCTATAGCCAATGGTTTCACTAGATGGTCAGGGACTTGGAAGAAGCATGATTGGAAAACTGGTGAATGGAGGTTATGCATGGGCTTAGCAACATGGACTTCCACTCACCAAGGCTAACCTGGCTACAACCATTGCTGAGTGCCCAATTTGCCAGCAGAGACCAACACTGAGCCCTCAATATGGTACCATTCCTCGGGGTGATCAGCCAGCTACCTGGTAGCAGGTTGATTATATTAGACCTCTTCCATCATCAAAAGGTCAGAGGTTTGTCCTCACTGGAATAGACTCCAGATATGGGTTTGCCTATCCTGCATGCAATGCTTCTGCCAAGACTATCATCTGTGGACTCATGGAATGTCTTATGGTATTCCACACAGCATTGCCTCTTACCCAGGCACTCACTTTAAGTGTGACAGTGGGCTCATGCTCATGGAATTCACGGTCTTACCAGTGCCATCATCCTGAAGCAGCTGGATTAAAAGAATGGTGGAATGGCCTTTTGAAGTCACAATTACAACACCAAATAGGTGACAATACTGTGCAGGGCTGTGACAGAGTCCTCCAGAAGGCCGTATATGCTCTACATCAACCTCCAATACATGGTACTGTTTGGATTCACAGGTCCAGGAATCAAGGGGTGGAAGTGGAAGTGGCACACTCACCATCACCCCTAGTGATCCACTAGCAAAATTTTTGTTTCCTGTTCCCGCAACATAACATTCTGCTGGCCTAGAAGACTTTGTTCCAGAGGGAATAACACTACCACCAGGAGACACAACAATGATCCCATCAAACTGGAAGTTATGATTGCCACCTGGACACTTTGGGCTCCTCCTACCTTTAAGACAACAGACTAAGAAGGGAGTTACAGTGTTGGCTGGAGTTACTGACCCGGACTATCAAGATGAAATTAGTCTACTACTCCATAACAGAGGTAAGGAAGAGCACACATGGAATACAGAAGATCCATCAGGCATCTCTTAGTATTACCATGCCCTGAGATTAAGGTCAATGAAAAACTACAATAGCCCAATCCAGGCAGGACTACAAATGGTCCAGACCCCTCGGGAATGAAGGTTTGGGTCACTCCACAAGGAAAAAACCACAACCTGCTGAGGTGCTTGCTGAAGGCAAAGGGAATACAGAATGGGTAGCAGAAGAAGGTAGTCATCAATACCAGCTACGACCATGTGACCAGCTATAGAAACAAGTACTGTAACTGTCATATTTCCACATTATTTTAATACATGTTTGTGTATATATACACTTGTACTAAGAAAATATCTTCATTTTATTTCCTTTTCCTTTATCATGTGACATATTTATTGACTTCACATCAGCATTTAAGTATCGTTGACTTTATGTAATAGTATTTGGGTTGGGGACTGCTGCATTTCCGGTTGTATGAAGGATAGTTGTATTATGTTAGATTTAATTATAACTTTATTATTGTCTTTATTTGAAGATTATGTGTGATCTCAGGAGATGTATATGGGTTCAAGTTGACAAGGGGTAGCCTTGTGATGGTTAATACTGAGTGTCAACTTGATTGAACTGAAAGATGCAAAGGATTGATCCTGGGTGTGGCTGTGAGGGTGCTGCCAAAGGAGGTTAACATTTGAGTCAGTAGGCTCGGGAAGGCAGACCTGCCTTACTCTGGTGTGCCATCTAATCAGCTGCCAGTGAATATAAGGCAGGCAGAAAAGGGGAGACTGGCCCAGCCTCCCACCCTACATCTTTCTCCTGTGCTGGATGTTTCCTGTCCTCCAACATCAGACTCTAAGCTCTTTAGTTTTGAGACTTGGACTGGCTCTCCTTGCTCCTCAAGCTTGCAGAAGCATATTGTAGGACCTTGTGATCATGTAAGTTAATACTTAATAAACTCCCCTTTATATATATATATAGTTAGTTCTGTCCCTTTAGAGAACCCTGATTAATACAGATGGGGTCCCACTATGTTGCCCAGGATACTTTCAAGTGAGCCTCCCACCACAGCCTTCCAAAACACTGGGATTATAGGCATTAGCCACTGCACCCAGCCACAATTTTCTTATGAATAATTTGTACAGCTATAGAAATGATATTTTAATTTTTTTTTTTTTTGAGACAGGGTCTCACTCTGTCACCCAGGCTGGAGTGCAGTAGTGTGATCAGAGCTTACTGCAGGCTCAACCTCTGGGGCTCAGGTGATCCTCTCATCTCAACCTGTGAGTAGCTGGGACTACAGGTGTGTGCCACTATGCTTGGCTAGTTTTTTTTTAATTTTTTTGTAGAGATGGGGTTTCACCATGTAGTCCAGGCTGGTCCCAAACTCCTGGGCTCAAGCAATCCTCTTGACTCAGCTTCTCAAACTGCTGGGATTACAGGTGTGAGCCACTGTGCTCAGCCGAGTTTTTATATATTATTTTTTGGCTACAGCATGACTTCTGTAGTATAATCCCAGTCACTTTAAAAAATATTAAAGTAGGCCAGGCGTGGTGGCTCATGCCTATAATCCCAGCACTTTGGGAAGCCGAGGCTGGTGGATCACGAGGTCAAGAGATCGAGACATTCCTGGTCAACATGGTGAAACCCCGTCTCTACTAAAAATACAAATATTAGCTGGGCATGGTGGTGCGCACCGATAGTCCCAGCTGTTCAGGAGGCAGAGGCAGGAGAATTGCTTGAACCCAGGAGGCGGAGGTTGCAGTGAGCCGAGATCGTGCCATTGCCCTCCAGCCTGGGTAACAAGAGCGAAACTCCGTCTCAAAAAAAAAAAATTAAAGTATCAGTTTCCGAACTAAACTAAGGTAAGGAGAGCATGTTGGAATGTAATGATGTGTGAGATCTTGCAAGGAAATTCTGTCATTAGGCAACTGGTTGCTAATTAACCAGTGACGAAATTAACTTAGAGGCAAATTGCCTCAAAACTCAAATTGATAGATTTTCTAATTTTCTGCTTACTCAGGTTGCTTCTTCCAGATCCCTTTTGACCTATTTTCAGCTATGGGTTCATAGATTTATGAGAATCAAGACTAAGCAGCCTTAGTTAAAGCAGTAACAGTATCACCTAATAATTATTTTGCTGCCATAGTAGCTGTTTGTATACTGGCCATATACCCAGGTAAACTGAGGCCAGATCACTATCAGAATTTTCTATCAGAGTTGGTGGTGAACTACTGCTCACTGATAATGGTGTGTGCCCATCAATGGCAGTCTAATTTTGACGCAAGATGTAACTTTAATGCATAAAATTTTACAATCAACTGACAATTAAAACAAGAAATATAACTAGGAATATGACAGAACCAGTCACTTTAATTTTGTGAATGGAAAATAATTTAAATTTGATAGTATTATATCCCTAGAAAATAAAAAAATTTCAACTGTATACCAAAAAGCCTGAATTAGTCCCACATCTCTATGTAAAAACTAGACCAACAGCAAGTTCACAGGATTTCAGCAGTTCTTATGTGCATACTGGGGGCAAGGAGAAGGAATGGCATTCCAAGCACAAATAGCCCTACAACAAAGTCAGCTTTCCCAAAATGCGGCAACCAAAACATGTAAAGCCTAAAAACTGATCTAAGTAGCAACTATTTAAACATGTTGAGCTTTTAAGTGATCAAATTCTGTCCTATATTCCTCCAGTACCCCCACCTACACACCAACTTTGCATAACTGTCAAAAAGGGGAAGTTTACCTTTGAAATGATGTAACAGCAACTGCGTCTTTTGTTCATGTTCCTTTTGCTGAAGGGTCAGTCTCCGGTCACACTGCAATTTTAGATGGTCCAATGCAGATTCTAATTCACGAACCATATTATCCCGTTCCAGAACTTTCATTTTCATTTCTTCATTATATAACTGTTGTTTCCGTTCAGCTTCTCGCAAATTCACCACCTAGCAAATACATTTTTTGACCTGTTAAGTGTGTCTTAGATAGCCTAACATAATAATCTACTTTTCTTGGACTACTTAAAGATGAACTTCCTTAACCTCCATAGTGTAAATTATTCCTGCCAGGTATTGGGTCCTTAAGCAAATGCTTTGTAACATATTCATAAAACAACTTAACAGCCTTTTGAATTTGTTGGAATTCAGGCCAGGTGGCTCACACCTGTAATCCCAGCGCTTTGGGAGGCTGAGGTGGGTGCATCACTTGAGGCCAGGAGTTTGGGACCAGCCTGACCAACAAGGTGAAACCCTGTTTCTACTAAAAAAAAAATACAAAATTACCTGTGCATGGTGGTGCATGCCTGTAACTCCAGCTACTTGGGAGGCTAAAGCAGGAGAATTGCTTGAACCCAGGAGGCGGAGGTTACAGTGAGCCAAGATGACACCATTGGACTCTAGCCTGGGCAGCAAGAGTGAAACTCCATCTCAAAAAAAAAAAAAAAAAAGCAATTTGTTCACTTTCATTTCTAGTATACTGTTGAAACATCTAGACAATTCCAAGTTTTAACTCCAGAATGGATATTATAAGTAAGTGACAGTTTTGGGTTTTTAAGATAGAGTCTCACTCTGTCACTCCGTGCAGTGGTGCAATCATAGTTCACCGCAGCCTCCAACTCCTGAGATCAAGGGATCCTTCCCACCTCAGCCTCCCACACAGCTGGGACCACAGGTACATGCCATCATGCCTGGCTAATTTTTAAAATTTTTTTCATAGAGACAGAGTCTCACTGTGTTGCCCAAGCTGATCTTGAACTCCTGGCCTCACATGATCCTCCTGCCTTGGCCTCCCAAAGCACTGGGATTATAGGTGTGAGCCACCATACCCAGTCAGATTATGCATTTTGTCTACTGGATTCTTCCCTGCTGATGTGAAGTAAAAATACTTCAGACAATGTCTATGTCCTAAAACTTGTTAATAATCTAATGACCTTTGTCCAAAAAAATAATCATTAATACAAGGGTTCTCAGGATCAGAAAATCCACTGACCTTAGCCAAGTTGCCCTGCTTTAAGGGTAGCATAAGGTCTGGGCATGGTGGCTCATCCCTGTAATCCCAGCACTTTGGGAGGCAGGTGGATCATGAGGTCAGGAGTTTGAGACCAGCCTGCCCAACATGGTGATACCCATCTCTACTAAAAAATGCAAAAATTAGCTGGGCATAGTAGCACATGCCTGTAATCCTAGCTACTCAGGAGGCTGAAAAGGAGCATTGCTTGAACCTGGAAGGTGAAGGTTGCAGTGAGCTACGACTGCACCACTGCACTCCAGCCTGGGTGACAGAGAAAGACTCTGGTCTCAGGAAAAAAAAAAGGAACAGCATAAAATTTATCTGTATCAAAGCACTCCATTGTCTTTCTACCCTCCAAACATGCAATAGGATGCACTTTCATAATTTACAGACTCAACGCTATCCCCATCAAGCTAAAGCTACCATTGACTTTCTTCACAGAACTGGCAAAATACACCTTGAACTTCATATGGAACCAAAAGAGAGCTCGCATAGCCAAGTCAATTCTAAGCAAAAAGAACACAGCAGGAGGCATCACACTACCGGACTTCAAACTATACTACAAGGCTACAGTAATCAAAACAGCATGGTACTGGTACCAAAACAGAGATATACACCAATGGAACAGAACAGAGGCATCGGAGGCAATATAACATATCTACAACCATACAATCTTTGATAAACCTGACAAAAACAAGCAATGGGGAAAGGATTCCCTGTTTAATAAATGGTGTTGGGAAAACTGGGTAGCCATGTGCAGAAAGCAGAAACTGGACCCCTTCCTGACTCCTTACACTAAAATTAACTCCAGATGCATTAAAGACTTACATAAGACCTGGCACCATAAAAACCCTAGAAGAAAATCAAGGCAAAACCATTCAGGACATAGGAGTAAGCAAGGACTTCATGACCAAAACACCAAAAGCATTGGCAACAAAAGCCAAAATAGACAAATGGGACCTAATCAAACTCCACAGCTTCAGCTTCTGCACGGCAAAAGAAATAGTCACTAGAGTGAATTGGCAACCAACAGAATGGGGAAAAATTTTTGCAGTTTACCCATCTGACAAAGGGCTGATATCCAGAATTTACAAAGAACTCAAACAGATTTACAAGAAAAAACAAACAACCCCACTCAAAACTGGGCAAAGGATATGAACAGACACTTTACAAAAGAAGACATACACGAGGCCAACAAACATATGAAAAAATGCTCATCAACACTGGTCATCAGAGAAATGCAAATCAAAACTACATTGAGATACCATCTCACTCCAGTTAGAATGGCGATCATTAAAAAATCTGGAGACAGGCTGGGCGCGGTGGCTCACACCTGTAATCCCAGCACTTTGGGAGGCCGAGGCGGGTGGATCACGAGGTCAACAGATCAAGACCATCCCGGTCAACATGGTGAAACCCCGTCTCTACTAAAAATACAAAAAATTAGCTGGGCATGGTGGTGCGTGCCTGTAATCCCAGCTACTCAGGAGGCTGAGGCAGGAAAATTGCCTGATCCCAGGAGGCGGAGGTTGCGGTGATCCGAGATCGCGCCATTGCACTCCAGCCTGGGTAACAAGCGCGAAACTCCGTCTCAAAAAAAAAATCTGGAGACATCAGATGTTGGAGAGGATGTGGAGAAATAGCAACACTTTTACACTGCTGGTGAGAGTGTAAATCAGGTCAACCATTGTGGAAGACAGTGTGGCGATTCCTCAAGGACCTAAAAATAGAAATTCCATTTGACCCAGCAATCCCATTACTGGGTATATATCCAAAGGACTATAAATCAGTCTACTATAAGGACACATGCACACGAATGTTCATTGCAGCACTGTTTACAATAGCAAAGACCTGGAACCAACCCAAATGCCCATCGATGATAGACTAGACTGGGAAAATGTGGCACATATACACCATGGAATATTATGCAGCAATCAAAAACGATGAGTTCGTGTCCTTTGTAGGGACGTGGATAAATCTGGAGAACATCATTCTCAGCAAACTGATACAAGAACAGAATATGAAATACTGCATATTCTCACTCATAGGTGGGTGATGAACAATGAGAACACATGGACACAGGGAGGGGAGCACTACACACTGGGGTCTATTGGGGGGAATAGGGGAGGGACAGCGCGGGGGGGAGCTGGGGAGGGATAGCATGGGGAGAAATGCCAGATATGGGTGAAGGGGAGGAAGACAGCAAATCACACTGCCACGTGTGTACCTATGCAACTATCTTGCATGTTCTGCACATGTACTCCAAAACCTAAAATGCAATTAAAACAAAAAAAAAAGGATGCACTCTCATCAGTAACAGTAGCTTACTGTTGATGATTATCCAAGAGAAGGCTTTGCATAACATTTGCATTTAATCCTTATTTCACGGAATTATAATTTTATTTAACTCTTTTTGAGACAGGCTCTTGCTCTGTTGTCCCAGGCTGGAGTGCAGTAGTGATCATACAAACTCAAACTCCTGGGCTCAGGTGATCCTCTTGCCTCAGCCTCCCAAATAGCTAGGACTAAAGGTATATGCTGCCACACCTGTCTAATTTTGTTATTTTCTGTAGAGACAAGATCTCAAATTTCTGGGCTCATCACTGTACCTGGCCTTAGGGCTTTATTTTAAAATATCAATGTTTTATTTTTCATTAATTATGTGATATTCCCATAAACTGAATGTACTTTTCAGAGAAAAGAGTTATCTCATTGTTTAAAACTTCATAATATACATCTTAAGTGGAAAAGACATTAGAGAAAAGATGGATATAGTTCTCAATGCTATGAGACATCTGTGGATCAATAAATTGTCTAATCTGTAAAAAATACAATATTTAAATTGATTTAAGCACATTCAGGTTAATAAAATCTATTACTATCTTTGCCACTGATACACTACTTCATCTTAATTTCAACTTATACATTATGAGAAAATATAGATTCCCCTACCCTAGAGCAATGAAGAAAAGGGAATCAAAACTTGGCGGGTGGGGCAGGGGACTGGGGGAGACTCGATTTTTCATGAGTGCTGGTTAGCAACATCCAAATCTAGAAAAACGTCCAAGAAATAATAAGGAGTGTAATAAATTATTTGGTTTTAAAAACTTTCTAAAAAGACCTTCTTTTGAAAGGCGCTCCAACTTTAAGAACATCACAAAGTTAGGCCTACATATTTGGATAATCACAAAGCTTTCAGGTGACAACATTTAGTTCTATAAAGAGAAATCATGCTTAAATTTGTAGTTACACCATCAAATCTTTAAGCCTTTCAATTCTTTAAAAATTCAAAATAAATATAAGTATGTAAGCATCTTGACCCATCTTTACAAGAAAAATACTCTGACTCTCAAAAACAAACCTTATTGAAATATCTGAAAAGAATAGCTCTAATCTCAACAGGACTCAGGCAAGCTAGTTTTCCCAAGACATTTGCTTCACTATGAGAGAGGTTATGGAATGATGCTCTAAGTGAGTTCTGGCGACTCTGGATACTTTCATTCTTGTATTCAATTGCAGCTTCCAAAGCTTCAATCCCTTCTTCAAGTTGGAAAAGAACATGTTCTTCCTAGATATAACAGAAATCACTCATTTTAAATGAGATACTGTAACTTTGACTTTGTCATATATTCAGATCCTACTAAACTATTTTAATCTAATGGACATTACCACTCTTTTACTAAATTTTTAAAAAATGTTTTTTGAGTGCTTGCTATGCCACATAATGCAGTGTGTGTATAAACACACACACAAACATATTAATATAATCATTAAGCCCTCACAATAAACCTGGTGGAATAAAGTGGAAAAGACAAAGTTTAGGTGAGTTCTGAAATGTTCCAAGGTCACACAACAACTGCTGATCATCTAATCCAAGGAATATACTTGAACAAAGCCTAAGTACACAGGATTAGCAGTATTGTGAAATATCTCCTCCATAACCGCTTAAGTCCATATTATGCGTCAGTATTTCCACTAGTGAGATCTAGAGACTCACTGTTGTCCCTTCAATGATCTATCAAAACAATATACTGCTTCAAGGTATAAGGTATATATTTAGAATAAGTTATTAAGAACGAGTAATTTTAAATGCACAATATGGCATTTAAAAAGTAATGAGGATTTAAGTATGTGAAATATTTCCTAAGATTCCTATGAAATGTTGTTAGAAGGAAAATGTAGATGTTAAAAATAGGGGCAACATAGTATTTTTTCAAATACTAGAGAAGACTGATGAATCTCTGTCAGAAAACCTGTAAGTTCTTTTCTTTTTTTCTTTTTTTTGAGACAGGGTCTTGCTATGTTACCCAGGCTAAACTTAAACTCTTGGGCTCAAGCAATTCTCCTTCCTTGCCCTCCCGAGTAGCTGGGACTACAGGGACATGCCACCATGCCCAGGTCTTCCAGTTCTTTGAACTATCTAAATACATGTTATTTGGGTGATACAAATCTCTGGTAAGGAATTACTTCAGATTGGTGAGGTTTGGATATATGTTTCTGTATACCTGTAACTATTGTGGAGGCCACCTCAGTAAGTTCCTGTGGCAGACTGTCTTGTCCATATGTACACCCTAGCACAGTACCTATCACATAGTTTGAATTCAGTAAATATCCGTTGACTTAACGAAGAGGAGAAAAAATAACTTCATGTATCCTTGGCTACAGGACCCATGTTATTTCTCTCAAGTCCTCCTCCTAACATCCCAAAGGAAAATAATGTGAATATTTCTTTTTTTGTTTTTTTCTGAGACAGGATCTCACTCACTCTGTCAACCAGGCTGCAGTGCAGTGGTGCAATCTCAGCTCACTGCAACCTCTGCCTCCTGGGTTCAAGCAATCTACTGCCTCAGCCTCCCAAGTAGCTGGGGTTACAGGTGCACACCACCACGCCCAGTTAATTTTTGTATTTTTAGTAAAGACAGGGTTTCATCATGTTGGCTAGGCTGGTCTTGAACTCCTGATTTCAGGTGATCTGCCCACTTGGCCTCCCAAGGTGCTGGGATTATAGGAGTAAACTACCATGCCCAGCCAATAGTGTGAATATTTCTGATCTACCTAAAGAAAAATGATCAACAGCCATTCTATTTCTCTGTGCAATCATTAACCATATGGAATTTGATGGTTTGATAATTGCTCTGTAAGGAATAAAATAATATTTACCTTTTCAAGAAAAAAACCCTTAAATACTAAAATGTACTTCGCTGAATGAATAAGAGGAGCCACAAATAAAAGTGAATTTTCTAATATAGAGTAAGTCCTTACTTATCATCAATAGGTTCTTAGAAACTGTGACTTTAAGAGAATATATAAGGGAAATTTTTTTTCTTATTAACTTTATAATAAAAGCAACTATGCTGAAGGAAAACAATGTAATTTGAGGACCTGATATACATGGTGTCTCTTAAAGTCCCAATTTCCAAGAACCTATCCACAATGTTCAGTAAGTACTTTACTGTACCTGACTTTTCAATTCATACTGTGATTATATTTTATCAAAAACAAATGTTAAGAGTTGGCCATGTCCAGGGACCACTATGTAAGGATATCTCAGTCTCTAGTCAAGCATGGTTTGTGGTCCAAGTAAGTGACAAGTGAACTCACTACATCTGACAAAATCTCAAGGAACCAAGTTTACCAAATTTATCATATATATGATTATGTGAAAAAGACTTGAGGAAATCACTCAAGTGATCCATCATACAGCACCTCCAGTTCCAAAGAATACTGACTTACTTCAGGTGATAGTACTCTACCATTCTTAAGTTTTTCATCCACGCTGTGTCTTCGTCTCTGGAGCTGATCCTTTTCTTTCTGGAGGGCTTCCACTTGTTCTGAAATCTTTATTTTCTCCTCAGCTGTGCTGCTCTGAAGCTGCACATTCTTTTCAGACAATTCTTGTTCCAGTAAGTTCAGGCGAGTTGATATTTTCAAACTATCTGTGTTTAAGGCCTAAAAATAGATACCCCAAAAATAGTTACTAGAAATCTAGACTGCATAAAAATTAGGAAAAACAGAGAAAATTGCTAAATATATTTTTAGTTTTCACATTATTGTTTGCTCCTATGGATCTTTTTGAGGGAGAGGGGTGTTCATTTTTATTTTTTTGTTTTTGAGATGGAGTCTTGCTCTGTTGGCACGACCTCAGCTCACTGCAACCTCTGCTTCCCAGGTTCAAGGGATTCTTCTCCCTCAGTCCCCCAAGTAGCTGGGATTACTGGCGCCCGCCACCTGGCTAATTTTTTGTATTCTTAGTAGAGATGGGGTTTTACCATGTTGGCCAGGCTAGTCTCGAATTCCTGATCTTGGATGATCCACCTGCCTTGGCCTCCCCAAAGTGCTGGAATTATAGGCGTGAGCCACTGCGCCCAGCCAGGGTGTTCATTTTCTAAAATCTTAAGTTGAATGCCTTTTTAAAAAAATGTCTATTTAAACTCTGAGTTTACTACCAAGAATTTCCTTGACTAGGTTTTCAGAGGCAGTGTTTTTCTTTTTATTATTTTCTAAATTGTTCTTTTTTTTTTTGATACAGAGTTTCGCTCCTGTTACCCAGGCTGGAGTGCAATGGCGCGATCTTGGCTCACCGCAACCTCCGCCTCCTGGGTTCGGGCAATTCTCCTGCCTCAGCCTCCTGAGTAGCTGAGATTACAGGCATGCGCCACCATGCCCAGCTAATTTTTTCTACTTTTAGTAGAGATGGGGTTTCACCATGTTGACCAGGATGGTCTCGATCTGTTGACCTTGTGATCCACCAGCCTCGGCCTCCCAAAGTGCTGGGATTACAGGCTTGAGCCACCGTGCCCGGCCTGAACTTTTCTTTATTGGCTTACATTCTACATTGTAGAATTATGTTACAATTTCCTAGGGGTTGAGAGTTGGTGTGTTTATACATATGATTGGTTGGCTTAAACATATAATTTGTTTTGCTCTTATTTCATTCTGATGAGAAAATAAGGCTAGATTTATGGAGATGTTCATTGTGGTCAAATTTCAGGTAATCTGTAAAGTATTTTTCATAGTAATTATTTGTATATACTACCATAAGATTTATTATATAAACACACACTTTCATAAAGTTTATAATTTTAAAAACGCATTCCCTTCCCCAAGCTTTTAACTGAATCCTACTCCCAGACAGCCACCTTCAACCGTTTCAGTTGGTTCTTCCGGTGTTTATGGCATGTTTCTAAATGGCACTGTCAATTTTAGACATTGTCTATTGACTATGTATTACAGGAGATAAAGATTTAGCACCCCTATACCTACTCTACTTCTCCAGTCTCCCAATATGTTATATTACAGTTTTTAGTTTAAAAAAAACTGTGATTTTATTATTCATAGGTGAATGATCTAGTGTGAAATGATCATGCTTCTGTTTTGATACAACTTTTTATTGCACCTTATAGCTAATTCCTCTCCAACAGAACTACAAAATTCCTCTCAACACTTTTTCATTCATCAAACTTATCAGGAAACCTTTTCAATCTATTCTTTTATGGAAACATTTTGCCTGAAGCATTCATCCTCCCGCTCAACATTGGACCAGTTGTCCTGGGTCTTCCCTTTGGTATTTCCTGAGAATTTCCATGTTGGAGCACATTTTCAGAATAGTGAGTCTTCCTTTTTCATAGTTTGTGCCGTTATTTTTGTGGAGCACATTCTCTAGTAGTTTCCTTGGACTTGATGGGATATACAAATTTTTTAACCTAAAAATGACCTTATTCTAGCTTCACTTTTGATTGAGAGTTTGGCTAAGAAGAAAATTATTTTATTAGACATAATTTTCCTTAGGAGTTTGAAGACGGCTTCAGATCTTTAAACTTCTAATGAGGAGAGGTGAGAAGTCCAATGCCATTCTGATTCTTGAGATTTACAAGTAGTTTTTTTTGTCTAGAAGCTTTCAGGACCTTCTTCTTTCCTTAGTCAGTGTATGCAAATCTTCACAATATTATGTTTTAGGTACTCATTTTGCTGGGCTACTTCAGTCTAGAGCTTCACATTACTAGTGTTAATTTTTTTTTTTTTTTTGAGACAGAGTCTCACTCTGTCACCCTCGCTAGAGTGCAGTGGTGAGATCTTGACTCACTGAAACCTCTGCCTCCCCAGTTCAAGCAATTCTCCTGCCTCAGCCTCCGAGTACCTAGGACTAGAGGTGTGCACCACCACGCCCAGCTAACTTTTGTATTTTTAGTAAAGTCAGGGTTTCACCATGTTGGCTAGGATGGTCTTGATTCCTTGACCTCGCAATCCACCTGCCTCAGCCTCCCAAAGTGCTAGGATTACAGGTGTGAACCACCGTGCCTAGCCAAGAAAATTTTTTATATGATGTCTTTGATGATATCCTCTCTTCTGTTTTCTCTGTTGTGTCTTTCTATAATTTCCATTACTTGGATCTTGGGCTTCCCAGATTTATCTGCCAATTAAAAATGTTTTTCTCTTACTTTCTATTAACTTATATTTTTACTTAACTTTTTGGGATATTTCCTCAACTTTATCCTCCGACTATTTTTTTCTTTTTTTTTTTGAGATACAGTTTTGCTCTTGATGCCCTGGCTGGAGTGCAATGGCAGTCTCGGCTCACTGCAACCTCTGCCTCTGAGGTTCGAGTGATTCTTCTGCCTCTGCATCCCAAGTACCCAGGATTACAGGTGCCCACAACCACACCTGGCTAATTTTTGTATTCCTAAAGGAGATGGGGTTTCACCAAGTTGGTGAGGTCGATGTCAAACTACTGACCTCTGGTGATCCCCCGACCTTGGCTTCCCAAAGTGCTGGGATTACAAGCATGAGCCACTGTGCCCAGCCTATCCTCCAACTCTTTTAATTTCAAAGAGTTATTTCATGTTTTTAACAACTTGTAGTTCTTTATAGTCATCTTTTAGTACATTGAGGATATTAAGATTTCTGTGAAGTCTTTTCAGCTTCTTGCTCTAATGTCTGAGTTCATTTTTTCCTTTTGTTTGTTCTTTGTCTTTAATAGTGGCATTCCTGAAATGTCCATCCTATTTCAGAGTCAGGTATCAAAAAGCTGATAAGATCTGTGATAGCATATCTGAGGGCCACTTAGTTGGTGGCTCCCAAATTTAAGTGTTTTTGTATCTTTTTAGATGTTTCAGAAAATATGCCAATTTATACTTCTAGGAAGTATAAATCCGGCTGCCAGCGTTTTTGGATCTAGGCAGAGATTAGGAAAGAGATGTTTCACAATTCATGTACAGACTTGCATTCATTCCCTATTTGGAGTTTTTTGACTTACCACAAACTTTGCTATGCCTGGTTCAATCTTCAGAAAATAAATCGGTCACAGAATGAGAAAAAATAGTTTCCTGACTATGCCGTTTTCATTTTTATGCTACTCCTGCCTTCTGAAAATTTTGGTTTCTTAATTTCTGAGTCTTTTTGATGTTCTATGTGAATTACATCTCTCTAAAGCTGTTATTTTTAAAAAAGGAAAACATCTAAAGCATTCTTAAAATGCCCATCACATTTCAGAGTCAGGTATTAAAAAGCTGGTAAGATGTGTGGTGATAGCATATATATAGGATCTTGGCCTAGCTCTCATTTGTATCTCTCTAGGTTCTTGGATTGCAGCATCTTCTGTTCTGCTAGGTTAATAACCTCTCATCTATTTGCTTTCTATCTTTTCTTTCTTTGTACTCTTTTGTTCTCTGGTATCTCCTCTACTGTCTTTTCCCCTTTATGGCTTTTCAAAACATGTAATAGCTTTAAGGAAATATGATCTACGTACCATACAATCCACCAGTTCAAAGTATATAATTCGGTGGTTTTAGTATATTCACAGTTATACAATCATCACCACAATCAATTTTACATTTTCATCACCCCCCAAAACAAGAAACCCCACACCTATTAGTATGCCTTCTATTTCCTCCCCAATCCCCCACCAACATTAGGTAACCACTATTCTACTTTTTGTTTCTGAACAGAAATGGAATTACCTATTCTGGACACTTGATATAAATGGTGTTATACAAAGGTGGTTTTTTTTTTGTGATTGGCTTTTTTCACTTACCATAGGTTTTCAAGGTTCATCCATGTTATTGTATATATCAGTACTTAATTCCTTTCTATTGTCAAATAATATGCTATTGTATAGATAGTATGGATAATCACAGTTTGTTTAACCATTCATCACTTGAACATTTGTGCTGTTTTCAGTTTTTAGCTGTTATGAATAATGTTACTATGAACGTTCATGTTCAAGTTTTTGTGTGCTTTCATTTCTCATGGAGACATACATATAGAAATCTCTCTCTAGGAGTGGGATTACTGGGTCACATAGTATCTCTCTCTCTCTTTCTCTTTCTCTCTCTCTCTCTCTCTCAGAGTGGGATTACTGGGTCACAAAGTTTAGCCTTTTGAGGAACTACAAGATGGTTATCCAAAGCAATTATACCATTTTCCAATTTCACCAGCAGTGTATGAAGGTCCCAATTTCTCCACCTCTTCCCCCCACATTTCTTATTATCTGTTTTTCTGATTATAGCCATCCTAGTGGGGAGTGGGGAGTGGTTTACAACCAGAATCAAGTAGCAGATTAAACAGAATACCTGACTAGATCTCAATTTCTTATTTTCCAGGTGACTTTTCTCTTGTAACAGGGTCTCCTTCTTAGAAACTATAGCCTCTCGTTTCTTTAAGTCTTCTTCCAGCTCCTCTAATTCTTGGCGTTGGTTCAGAACTTTCTCTACTTCTTCATCTAACCACTTCTTTTGCTCATCCAATTTCTACATTAAAATTCAAAAAAAAAGTTACTTGCTTTTCCTTCTGCCATAAAAATTACATGATAATTATGTAATTTCAGATTGGCTGAAATCTCTTTAATGAACACTTAAAAACTATCACTCAGAGTAACTCATGTTCCCATCTGAAATCCTAAAGACATCAGTGGTTCTAGTCAAGATGTAGCTAGGTTGTTTTATAAAGAATTAAAATGTACTCCCAGATATGTTAAACAGTCTGAGATTTTTTAGCCTGACAATGAAAGGGCTGATAATTTTCTATACCTATAATAAGAACATGTTGGGAGTCTTTTCTCTATTACAGTGGTACATACTTCCATCATTAGCACTTATACTAATGGTTATACTCTTATATACTACTATAAGTAGTATCCACTTATACTCTATAATCTATCTCCCCAGCTTGAGCTCCTTGATTGATTGTAGGGACTGTAGTTTTTACCTGTCTATCCAGATGCCTGGTATACTGCCTGGGCCACAGCAGGCATTCAATAAAATGTTAAATGAATGAGTGAATGAATGCCTGATTCAGTCCATCATTGAAGTGAATAAATGAATATACACCGTGGAAGACAGAGAAGATGGAGCATGGAAGGAAACCCAATTTGCATTGTAGCTTGTCAACAACTTCATATAATTAATTAAAAAAAAAAAAACTGCTGAAAAGATCTTCAAAATAAACATCTTAATACTCTCTTGAATTAAAGATACCTAGAAACAAGTACAAACATAAATATAGATGAAATATGACTGTTGAAAAGGAACTCTACCAAATGGACACCATAATGAAGTACTGCCACCAAAACAACAAATAAATAAAAAAAGAAAACAATATAGTATTATTTCCCAGTCCTTCATGAACCTTATAGGAAGGGTTCCTAGAAATCTGTAACAATGACACAGTGAAGACATATGAGAAAAAGAGAGCAAAATGGCCAAGGCAAAGAAGATGCTTAGCTCTTCAGTCTTCCAATAATACCAAGATATTTATAGTATGATCTTTTAAGCACTATCATGTCCAGGTAACACTGGAGCCTAATTGTAATTGTAGCTCTACAGTTACTAGGAACAGAAAGAACAACTATAAAAATGTTAGTTTTGTTATATCCATAGATACTCCAGGAGGAGACCCTATGAAGTCTAGCAAGTAATTTAAACATATTCTATAAACATTCCTAAACTGTGAGTGGGGTTTGAAAGATGAGTAAGAGATTCTTTTTAAGCTCCACTTAAAATGAAAAAAACTAAAAAATTACAACTGGTAATGACATTTCTAGGTGGAATGGGTGTATGTGGGAATGCATCCATGTCACTATTAAATGTCACTAATAAAATGTAAAATTTATGAAGAGAGAATAAATCTTCCTAAAGTAAGGTAGATTTAATTGCATTCTGGGTATTTTAAATACAATATTTTCTTCTTATATAAAATTTATAATTTCATTTTCTTTGAACTTTGAAATTAGTTTGTGGTTTATGACTTTCTTTTAAAAAGGTGGCACTAAAATAATGGCTTTTTAATATATAGAGTACATATACAATTTGGTTTTATTTGAATGTAGAGCTCTGATTTTTAGAAATATATTTGTCTACATGAGATGGGAATAAATACAATCCAGTGAACATGGATTTCAATTTATAGTCTACAACATTCAAATAAACTCACTTCTACTGAAATAAGAATATATTTATTTTGCTGAGAGCAAAAAAAAATATAGCACATTTCTGGATGAGAAAATAATTTTGTAATCATAAAAGTTTCATTACTTGGGCGACAGGATTATTAGAAGTCCAAATCTTAGCATCACACAATATACCCATGTAATAAACCTGCAGATGTATCCCTAAATCCAAAATTTAAGAAAAGAAAAATAATAAAGTTTGAAAACAAATACCAGAAATTTTGCATTTGGATGGCAAACAGTTTAGTGTTTAAAAGCTTTATTCGGAGTCCACCAGTTTTTACATCTATCTGTCTATCAGTCTGTCTGTCTAGGGAGATTTGCTCTTGTTGCTCAGGCTGGAGTGCAATGGCATGGTCTCAGCTCATTGCAACCTCCACCTCCCAGGTTCAAGTGATTCTCCTGCCTCAGCCTCTCAAGTAGCTGGGATTACAGGCGCCCACAACCACGCCCAGTTAATTTGTGTATTTTTTAGTAGAGATAGGGTTTTACTGTGTTGACCAGACTGGTCTTGAACACCTGACCTCAGGCAATCCACCCACCTTGGCCTCCAAAGTGCTAGGATTACAGGCATGAGTTTACCTCTATTTAGACAACCATCAGATTGAAGAGAAACCAGGAAACACTAAGTAGAATTGACAAACCTGGAGTTGGTCTATACTTCCAAACGAACCTTTTCTCCTTTTCAAGTTACATGCATCAGGGTCCTCAGCTTTCGGTTTTAGACCGTCTTCCTGTCCTGTTTTTGACTGTAATTCCTATAAAAAACAATTGAAAATACCTTATTGCTTTTATACCTGACCATCATTAAGTATGCAGATAATTCTTTTCTTTTCTTTTTTTTGGAGACAAGGTCTCACTCTGTCACCCAGGCTGAAGTGCAGTGGCACAATCATAGCCTCAAACTCCTGGGCTCAAGCCATCCAGCCACATTTTCTTAACATTTACTTGCTTAGTCACAGAAAGAGAAAATGAATAGATGATGGTTGGGGCTATTTGAGAAGAAAATAATGTGGAGTTTTTTTGTTTAAAAAAGTTTTTCAGAGATAGAGTCTCACTCTGTCACCTAGACTAGAGGGCAATAGCGTGATCACAGCTCACTATAAACTTGAGCTCCCGGGCTCAAGTAATCTCAGAGCCTCCCAAGTAGCTAGGACTACAGGCATGCACCACCACGTCCAGCTACTTTTTAAAAAATTTTTTTGTAGAGATTGGGTCTCACTATGTTGCCCAGGCTGGTCTCCAGTGATTCTCTTGGCCTTCAGGGATCCTCTGGCCTCAACTTCCTAAAGTTCTGGGATTACAGGCATGAGTCACCAAGCTCAGCCTTTTTAGTTGACAAACAATAATTGTACATATTCATGAGGTACATAGTGATATTCCAATACATATAATGTATAATGACAAACCAGGGCAATTAGCATATCCAAGAAGAAAGGAATGTTAGCTCTCACTGACGCAATAAATGTAACTGCAAAAATTAGGATATACTAACAAAACTGAGGATTTTTTTCATTCTTCGTGAGTGTTACAATTTAGCACAACAGGGATAAGATTCTGAAATTATAAGTGCGGTTTTCTCTTCTGCCTTTCTGAGCTTATTACTTTCATAGGTTACTCCACCTACGACATCCATCTGCTGTGGGTATATTAAAATTTATTATAGTAGAAATGCAAAAAGAAACGTTCAATATCTGGTGTTCAAAAATGGGAGTTTGCACTATGAGAATAGCCTTAAAAGACAGATCATGGTCTTAGGAAGCATATTTTCCAAATTCTTTAGTTTCCATCCACAATGTTTTTCTTTGAGTCAGAGTCTCACTCTGTCACCCAGGCTGGAGTGCAATGGCACAATCTTGGCTCACTGTAACATCCGCTTCATGGGTTTCAAGTAATTCTCGTGCCTCAGCCTCCTGAGTAGCTGGGATTACAGGTGTGCCACCACACCTGGCTAATTTTTGTATTTTGTTTTTTTCAGTACAGATGGGGTTTCACCATGGTGGCCAGGCTGGTCTCGAACTCCTGACCTCAGGTGATCCGCCTTCCTTGGCCTCCCAAAGTGCTGGGATTACAGGTGTGAGCCACCATGCCCAGCCTTCATTCACATCTTAAGGGTCAAGGCAACAGGTTCAATGCTGGCCAGGTGGGGTGGCTCACACCTGTAATCCAGCACTTTGGGAGGCCGAGGTAGGCTGACCACTTGAGGTCAGGAGTTCGAGACCAGCCTGGCCAACGTGATGAAACCCCGTCTCTAATAAAAATACAAAAATTAGCCGGGTGTGCACCTGTAATCTCAGCTACTCAAGAGGCTGAGGCACAAGAATCGCTTGAACCTGAGGCAGAGGTTACAGTGAGCCACAATCACACCATTGCACTCCAGCCTGGGTGACAGAGTGAGACTCTGTCTCAAAAAAAAAAAAAAAAAAGGCACAATGAACATCTCATGATGTTCATCACTAAAGCTTAGCAGGAATCAGGAAGGAGGCCCTGAGTCAAAGTGGGCCAGTCCACAGGTAAGTACACAACTGAAAGTGCTGAGATACTTTTATAGCAATTTGACAGAATAATTTTATGTCTGATGACTTTAATAATTTTTAAAATGGACTTTTATTTGTATATTTTAAATTTCAATTTTCTACTAATTCATGTTTTACAAAAGTGTTAGGCTGTGACAAATTTATAACAAACTATAAAAACTATACCTTCTCCACAAGTAATTTCAGAAGCACTGATAGAAAGTAAAAGAAAAGCCTAGTGTTCTCCAGCCCTGGGAATGGCAAAAAGGAGAAAAGAGACAGTAAGAAAGACTTGTTTTCCTCTGTCTGAGTTTTGGTCCAGAAAGGAGAATGATAAGTAAAGGTATCAGTGAAGACAGAGGTGCTCCTAACTCATTTGGGAGAGAAAATGCAGACTGCAGTGCAGAAGCCCCACACCCATATATGATTGCCCAGTCTTACTGAAAGAGCAGAGAGGTACAATTAGGAAAGACACCCGGCTGGGCACGATGGCTCACGCCTGTAATCCCAGCACATTGGGAGGCCAAGGTGGGTAGATCATGAGGTCAGGAGTTTGAGACCAGCCTGACCAACATGGTGAAACCCCGCTTAAAAAAAATAAAAAAACCAAAGACACCCTAATTGGACTCCTTGGTCTTACACGGCATGGATCCTGAGTTGAGAGCTAATGTAGGTAGTTACTATGAAGAACTGGCTCCCAAACTGGGTATTAGAACAGGCCACTGGGCTATCAAGCTAGACAGAATGCCTAGTAGCCTCGATTGGGGCTTATAATGCTAGTGGGAGATGAGATGAAGGGAAAGCACCCTCATGCTCTAAACAGAAGCAAGACCAGACTATGATTTATGTCAGGCAGGGGTTTCATCATTGGGGCAGCAGATTAGGCAGGGTAAGGTGGACAAGGGAGAACAATTTCCAGCTGGTCACATTCCTCAACTCCAAGGCATAGGATAAAAGAAACCTATACACCCAACCATAATATACAACTGGATGCCATCTTAGGAAGAGAAGCACAGGAAGAAGAGGCTAAGAGACTAAGCATTCTTATTCGAGAGACCTGAGAAGTATTTAAAGGAAGTGTTTACATTTTCAGAATAAGGTTTGAACAGAGAGAACATCTGATTAGTTTCCACCGTATTTCCAGCAATAATCATGATGTGGATAGAAGAGGAGAGGGGCACTCACAAAGACGACAGGTGCTACAGACTAAATAAAGAAAAATTTTACACCCATCTGAATGATGAGTGAATGTGGACCCTATTATGTTTGCCGCCACAGTTCTTCATGCTTCCCTAGCTCTAGTTCATAGCTACAGTTTAGCCCCTGTCATAGTCCTAGAAATTTCAGGATGATGAAATAAAGCGACCTTAAATAAAATAACCTTATATAGAGTTGACTCTCTGCTATTTCTGCTTGTCCACATACACTTTATAAGTATACTGCAGTAGTTCTAATTCCATCTTCCACATGTTGCTCCAGACAAAACCTTTTTTCTTGTATTGTAATCTTTGTTATACATATTAAAATAACTCTGTACCAGGCACTGTGCTAGACTTTTTATGTCTATTTAATTATCCCATTTAGCCCTCAAAACAATCCTATGATATAGGGACTATTATAAGATCAATTTTATAGATGAGGAAATGAATGGTTAAAAAGCTCAAGATCATACTGCTACCCATGATTTCAGGAGTTCTCACATCTTTTCTTCAAAGCCTATCCATGGACCTCAGTTAAGAACTGCTGCTCTAAAGAAAACCTATGCAGAAGTTGTACTATACTTTGGAAATGGTTTACTCAAGTAGAAAAGGAACAGACAGGAGTGTCAGAAAGTTAGCTCCAAACAGACAGCAAATATCCTTTACGACTGTAAGCAGGTTTTCTGTTTTTTGCATTAAGTAGTGGATACATCAATGTATCTTTGGGACAGTCTGGTTCCTTTTTCTCGAATACTTGCTATCCCCCATAAATGAGTCATTTCACTAGAATTAGAGATGTGGCTAGATGGAATAAAAGTGCCCTAAATGGCCAGGTGTGGTGGCTATGCCTGTAATACCAGCATTTTGGGAGGCCGAGGCAGAAGGACCACTTGAGCCCAGAAGTTCGAGACCAGCCTGAGCAACAGAGTAAGACCTTATCTCTACAAAAAAAATTAAAAAATTAGTGAGGTGCACTGGCATGTGCCTGAAGTCCTAGCTACTTGGGAGGCTGAGGCGGGAGGATTGCTTGAGCCCAGGAGGCCAAGGCTGCAGTGAGCCGTGATCATACAACTGCACTCTAGCCTGGATGACAGAGATCTTGTTTAAAAAAAAAAAAAAAAAGTAGCCAGGCACAGTGGCTCACACCTGTAATCCCAGCACTTTGGGAGGCCAAGGTGGGCAGATCACAAGGTCAGGAGTTCGAGACCAGCCTGGTCAACATGGTGAAACCCCATCTCTACTAAAAATACAAAAAAAAAAAAAAAAAAAAATTAACTGGGCATAGTAGTGGCGGGCACCTGTAATCCCAGCTACTTGGGAGACTGATGCAAGAGATTCACTTGAACCTGGGAGGCAGAAGTTGCAGTGAGCTGAGATCTCACCACTGCCCTCCAACCTGGGCAACAAAGTAACAAAGTGAGACTCCGTCTCAAAAAAAAAAAAAAAAAAAGTGCCCTAGATAAGAAGGTAAAAAATTTGAGTTATAGGCAGAGTTGCATTTCAGCAGACTTCTACTCTTTAAAGAAGAGAGTTTTTTTCTTTTTTCCAAACATGGATTTAGAGAATGCTATGTCTTTCTGGTTTAAGCCATGACCTATAAGAGACGAGGAGCTAAAACCCAAGGACCACAGCACTGAACAAGCAGGCCTGACCTTCGCATGGGAAGAAGAGCTAAAACAAAACAGACTATATTGGTGGCAGCAGAAATGAAAATTGGACGGATTCTTGGTATTTTAAAGATAATACCCTAAAGGCTTCAGTGGTTCACTGGATATGCATGATAAGAAAGAGGCAAGAGCCAATGATGATGCCTAAATTTCCAGCTCACCCAACTGATATATCATGTAAGGCACACTGGAGAACTACATTTTTTTCCTCCCATTAAGGGAGCAGGGAGTAGGGAATCATGAAAAGATAAGTAAGAAAGACCATGAATTCATCTATAAGACAACCTAATGAAGACAATGGAGCTCAAAGAACAGATCTGGGATTAAGCACTAAATGTGGGAATTTTCAGTTTAATTGCAGCCATGAAAAAGTATCCTACACTCACCTAGGATAGAGTATAGCAGATAAGAGGGAGGGCAGAGACCAGAGCCATGAGGAACTCCCATATTTAAAAGGACTGGTGGAGTGGAATGAGCTAGCCAAAACAGAGAATGAGCAATCAAAAAAAGAGGAAAAAACAAGGGAAGTATAATGTTACAAAGGCAAGGGGAAAATACTTCAAGATGGAGGGAATGCTGAACTGTGCTGGATGCACAGTGTTAAACTAAGCACATTAGTGACAGAGAGCACCAGTGAACTTCTCAAGAGTTGTGAAGTGAATGATAGAGCCAGAAGCCAGCTGGAGAGGATAAGTGAATGAATGAAAGCAGAAGTAACAGAAACAAATGCAGTCAACTTTTCCAAGTTCTATTACAAAGGGGAGGTAAGAAAGGGAGGGGTAAAAAGGTTGAAGGAGGATAATTTCAGGATGAAAAAAATCTAAGATGTTTAAAGACAAATCCACAAGTTGAAAATAAAAGGATAAAAGATGACACATACATGCTTAGCACAGTATTGCTTGAATATAAATATCAATGTTAACTATTGCTATAATTACTATTACCATTATTATTATGCATATCATTATTATTACCAGTTCTTTTAAATACAAGAGTTCCTCATAGCTCTAATTTTTGTCCTTGTATCTTCTATACTTCATCCTAGGTGACTGTAGAATACTTTTCCATGGCTGCAATTAAACTCAATACTCTGGATTGTCTTATAGTGTCAAGGAAATTTAAAAAGCAATTCCATTTATAATAGTGTTTAAAAGGATATCTAGGAACAAGTTTAAGTAAAAAGGTAAAATACTACTAGTACACTAAAAATTATAAGACATTGCTGAAAGAAATTAATGAAGACCTAAACAAATGGGAAGACTTCCAATGCTCGTGGATAAGAAAATTTAGTATTGTCAAGATGTCAGTACTAAGAACAATCTAGAGATTCAACAATCTCTATCAAAATTTCAATAGCCTTTTTTGTAGAAATGGAAAAGCCCATCCTCAAAAATCACATGGAAAATTGTAGGGGCCCTGAATAGCCAAAATCATCCTGAAAAAGAAGAGCAAGGTGGGAGGACTTACTTTCCCATTTCAAGACTTAATACAAAACTACAGTAATCAAAATAGTGTGATACTGGCGTCAGGACAGACATATAGACCTATGGAACAGAATTGCGAGTTTAGTAACCACACATCTATGGCAAGTTGATTTTTTTTTTTCTTTTTTTTTGAGACGGAGTTTCGCTCTTGTTACCAGGCTGGAGTACAATGGCGCAATCTCGGCTCACCACAACCTCTGCCTCCTGGGTTCAGGCAATTCTCCTGCCTCAGCCTCCTGAGTAGCTGGGATTACAGGCACGCGCCACCATGACCAGCTAATTTTTGTATTTTCAGTAGAGACGGGGTTTCACCATGTTGACCAGGATGGTCTCGATCTCTTGACCAAGGATCCACCCGCCTTGGCCTCCCTGTTGGGATTACAGGCGTGAGCCACTGCGCCCGGCCACAAGTTGATTTTTTAAAAATAAAAATTGGGGCCGAGCATGGTGGCTCACGCCTGTAATCCCAACACTTTGGGAGGCCAAGACCAGAGGGTCACTTGAAGCCAGGAGTTCAAGACCAGCCTCGGAAATATAGCAAGACATTTTCTACGAAAAGTAGGAATTGAAATTAGCCAGGTGTGGTGGTAAGCGTAGGTAGTCCCAGCTACTTAGAAGGCTAAGGTAGGGGGACTGCCTGAGCCCAGGAATTGGAGGCTGCTGTGGGCTATGATCATGCCACTGCACTTCAGCCTGGCTGACAGAGCGAGACCCTGTCTCAAAAAAAACAAAATTGTACATATGTAAGATATACAACATGATGTTTTGATAAACATAGTGAAATGATTACTCTAGTCAAGCTAACATATTTATTTCTTCATGTAGTTAGCATTTTGCTTTTATGTGGTAAGAGCACCTGAAATCCACTCTCTTAGCAAATTTCCACTATACAATAGTCAACATGCTGTACATTAAGTCTCTAGACTTATTTATTCTACATAATCACAACTTTGTACCCTTTGACCAACATCTCGCCATTTCCCTCATCAGCATCACCCTATTTCCCCCTCCAACTGATTTTTTATAAGAGTGCCAAGTCCATTCAATGGAGGAAAGAACAGTCTCTTCAACAGATGGTACTAGTACAACTGGAGTTCCACATGCAAAAGAATAAATCTGAAACCACTACTTCACACCATATACAAAAACTGACCCCCAAATAGACCAATGACCTAAATATAAAAGCAAAAACCATAAAACTCTTAGCAGAAAATATAGGGGTAAATCTTCATGACCTTGGATTTAGGCAATGGATTTTTAGACACGACACCAAAAAGTACAAACAACAAAAGAAAAAAAATAGATAAATCAGACTTCAACAAAATTAAAATGGACAATTCAAGTGACCATTGATGGATGAATGGATAAAGAAACTGTGGAATAGCCATACAATGGAATATTATTTGGCAATAAAACAGAATGAAGTTCTTGTACATGCTGCATTGCGGATGAACCTTGAAAATATTATGCTAAGTGAAACAAGCCAGACACTGAAGTTAAAATATTATATGATTCTACTTATATGAAGTATCTAGAATAAGCAAATTCATAGAGAAAGTAGATTAGAGATTACCAGGGGCTGGGGTAAGGGGAAAATGAGGAGCTATTGCTTAATAGTTATAGAGTGTCTGTTTGGAGTGATGAAAATGTTTTGGAAAGAGATAGTGGTGTTGGTTGCACAAGATTGTGAATGTAATTAATGGCATTGAATTACTCACTTAAAATAGTTAAAATGGTAAATTTTATGTTATATATAATTTATCACAACTTAAAAATGAATAACACAAAAAAAGAATGTCTAACCCATTGAACTGTATAGTTTAAATGAGTGAATTATATGGTATTATATGAATTATATCTCAATAAAGACTGTTTAAAAAAAATAGAATGAGTAACTTGGTTTAAATGTTCTTTAAGTTCACTTCCATTGCTGAATTCTGTGATATTTTTAAGGTTGGAAAATAGGTTATGTCCATTGTTAAAAGTCTAGGAAATCTGGGGCATACTGATAATGGGAGAGGCTAAATATGTGCAGGGACAGGGCGTATATGGCGTTATCTCTGTACCTTTCTTTCAATTTTGCTGTGAACCTAAAACTGCTCAAAAAAAGTAAAACCTTAGTGGCCAGGTGCAGGGGCTCATGCCTTTAATCCCAGCACTGTGGGAGGCCAAAGCAGGTGGATCACAAGGTCAGGAGTTCGAGACCAGACTGACCAACATGGTGAAACCCTGTCTCTACTAAAAATACAAAAATTAGCCAGGCATGGTGGTGCTCACCTGTAACCCCAGCTACTCAGGAGGCTGAGGCAGGAGAATTGCTTGAACCCGGGAGGCGGAGGTTGCAGTGAGCCAAGATAGTGCCACTGCACTCCATCCAGCCTGGGTGACATAGCAAGACTGTCTCAAAAAAAAAAAAAAATCTAAGAAATCTCCAATTATGTCCCTTGCCTTGGGTTCAGCTTAACATTTCAATGAAACAGAGCCTAGCATACAGTACTAGATAAATGTCTGTTATTATGATCATCATCATCTTTTCAAAAAAGCTCTGTGAGACAAATATGATTAAAGCCATTTTCGATAAGAATAATTAGAGAGGGTAAAATTTTTGAGAAATTTGAGAAAATTTATTTTTTCAATAAATCTCTCACCCAGCAACCAAGAGAGCTATGATTTGAACACATGATAGACTAGTCCAAGAGCCCAGGCTGACACCATTAAGTTCCTCCCCAGCCCAATCTATTCTAGAACTGCTGTACATACAGGTCTGATCATTGTTCTGCTGTGAATGAAATGGTACCACTTTACCTATGTCCTATGTAGCCACATGGACAATGCAAATCAAAACACTTTGAAAACAGAAAATCCTATTCAAATGGTAGGTATTATTTACAAAGTTGGCTTTATAAATGTATGTTTTTGACAGCCTAAAGTTAAGATCCTACTAAGAGAAATTATCATTGTACCTTCTTTTGTGAAGTCAAAGCCTTCAAGACAGTACTCGGAATTCAATAAATAGGTTTTACTATGTAGATGAACAAAGCTTTAAAGTGAATAAGGACAGCAGTGAAGGGCAGGTCAAGGATAGATATTTCACAAGCCAACTGAATCAAGACCACGGCTTCGTTAGCTCTGAGCCGTTTAACATTTCATATTATACTTAGCAGGAATGTATGACAATATTACTTTGATTTTTTGTTGGTCACGCTTAATTGCTGCATCCAGTTGCTTCCTTTTTTCATTTTCTTCTCCAAGTTTTCTTTGTAGCTGTACCTTTTGATACTTCATGTGATCTACATTCTGCTCTAGTTCATTAGCACGTTTCTCATTTTGGATTGACAGTGATGCCAATTTCTTACTATCTTGTTGCTTTCTCTGTAAGACCTGAAATCATATGGAATATTTCAAAATGAAAAACTGAATCTCTCACATTCCCTAACTAAACTTAATCTTTTCATTTAATGATAAAAGAAGAAATTTTCCCTAGATTTTCATTTATTTTTGACAGGTTCATAAACAATTGGTTACTCTCCTACATTTGCATTTTTGCAATTAGGGAAACCATCACCACTTTCATCACAAATGTAAAAGTATAAAGAATGATGAGACTTCCTGATGCGGACAACAAACAAAATAAAATGGATGATTTGCTTTTTATTAATAAGCATTTTAATTTAAAAATTAGTTAAAACAGCATAAAACTGAATTTATATTTTAAGAGTCACTCTTACCATACACCCCGAATTTACCTGTCCTGCTTCCCAACACAAAATTACCAATTTCTTAAATATTCTTCCAGAAAAAAATGTATGCATATGCATGCAAACAGCTTCATATATATTCTATATAGACTACTATCTCCCTTTTTCCCTAGTTATCTCAGAGGTCTTTTCATATAGATGTTCTGTGTGGGGGCACAGCATTCCAATGTGCTCTTGGTTTTGTTTTGTTTTTTTTTTAATTTTATTTTTAAAAATAAAGATGGGCTTTCACCATGATAACCAGGCTGGTTCTGAACTCCCAACCTCAGGTGATCCACCCACCTCAGCCTCCCAAAGTGCTAGGATTACAGGCGGTGAGCCACCACGCCCGGCCACAAACAAGACATTTTATTTGCCACTATTATAGGTCTGAACTTTAAACAGATTCTTGGACTGGTGGTTCATATCCATCAGCTCATTCAACTTTAGCACCTGTCTCATCCCCAGTGGCTTTTCCAGAACTACTGCCTTCACCATGAAGCTCCATGAGTTTTCCCAATTCAAACTTGGGCTTCTTCAGCATTTTTACTTTTCTAATGAAGACATCATGGAGAGAATAAATAGATAGGCAGGCCTTTTCTATGTCTTTTCCAATGCAGTCTGGAATCAATTTATTGACCACTTCTTTCAAGTCATTTGTCTGCACCTCTCGGGTCATGATTTCCATCATCTTCTTCCAGATTTGGCGGACCTGTTGGTGCTGAGCATAAGAGGTCTTCCGTATCTGATTGTTGCGTTTTTCAGTAAAACCAACACAGAACAGACGAAGCAAGTAACCATCGGTAGTCTTGACATCAACATGAGCTTCAATCATTGTCTGCCATTTTTTGACCATAGAACACATTTTGTCACAGGTAAGATCCATGCCATGGAAGTTAGTCAGGCAGTTTTTGCCCTGAACATCTTCAGTAATCAGTCAGAATTTCCTAAATGCAACTTCATCATTCTGCAAATCAGCAAGACTAACTTCAAACACTCGACCCTTGAGGCCATCAGATGCAATTTTGGTTCCTTGGGTCCTGATGACTAGCGTCTTTTCAATATTTCTTATATTGAACATAGCGGGTGCTTTCACATCATACCAATCTTTCTTAGAAAATGGATCAACCACTTTCTTCTTGGCTCCCTTTTTGCCGCCTTTCGTAAGGAGCTTGTTCTTGCCAACCGCCATGGTGCTGCTCAGAGAGCCAAAAGGGGACGTTCTTGTTTTTATAGCTACAGCTATAGCCTCAATCGTTAATCCCTGAGCTAAGATGATCAGAGCTGATAACATTTTCTGAGAGTGAACATTATAATTACTGTTTTAACATTTATCTTAAATTCCTTTTCATCTAACTAAAATTATGTATAGATAGCATTAGGGTTTCAAAGTGTGCACACCACTAATATAAAATACTTGTGTTACAATTTAGTCCTGACCAAAATTAGGCTTGTATTATGTGATTAGCATTGCACTAAGTACCAATTAGGTGGCATAAAAAAGTTAAGGGGATGTCATTCATAAATTATGCAGACCACAATTATTTCCTTTATTTTGGCAATAAAGTGTTAGCATAAGCAGGTTTGGTTTTAACTAAATTAAGTATCCAAGAGGCACTGCAATTTACAGCAGTTGCTACTCGAAATGTGATCTGTGGACCAGTGTTAGTTCACAGACACTGTTGTCAATTTGCACCCCTCAGCATACTATTAGATTCAGTTGATGTTTTCATGCAAGACTTTTTTGATGAAGGAAGCTGTGCAATGATTGACCTTTATCTCATCACAGAACAAGAACGATCTGCAGATGGACTACTTTGGGTACCACTGGCTTGGAGGCCACAAGCCTTTGCACTTTCCAGTACCTAAATCTGGACACTGGCTTTGCCACTTACAATTGACAATAATTACAATACTGCAGCAAAAATTATGATACCAGCATTTTAGTGTCTTTTTCACATAATATTAAAAAGAGTGTACATCCTGAAAATCGTAAGAGTGAGATACTGTTCCCACTGTCTTTTGCAATTATTCCATAGTTGCTCAAAAGTGCATCAGCATTAAACTATTAATGCAGCATGTAACACTCTACATATACCTAAAAACATTAAAAATATAGGTTTTACAAGTTTCTAATTTAAAATTTTTTGTTTTAAAAATGGAAATAACTGTATTCTACTAATAAAAATACTAGTATTTCAGAATTTTAAAACAGCATGATATGGCTGGGTGCAGTGACTCACACCTGTAATCCCAGTACTTCGGGAGGCCAAGACGGGCGGATCACTTGAGGTCAGGAGTTCAAGACCAGCCTGACCAACATGGTGAAACCCCATCTGTACTAAAAATACGAAAATTTGCAGGTATGGTGGCAGGCACCTGTAATCCCAGCTATTTGGGAGCCTGAGGCAAGAGGATCACTTGAGCCTGGGAGGTGAAGGGTGGAGGTTGTAGTGTCCAGCCTGGGCAACAGAGCAAGACTCTGTCTCAAAAAAAAAAAAACCATGTTATGTTAGCGTACTGAAAACTGGTATTGTCATCACCACTACGGGACTCTGACTGGGTTATTTTACCTTTCTAAACCTTTGTTTCCACATTTATAAAATGGCTAAAAATGCCCACTTCAAAGGATTAAATAATGTATATAAACCATTTGGTATGTATAGGCCTTCAACAAATGGTAACTACTGTCCTCCTCATCCTCCTTATCATCCTATCCCCATCAGTAGTGCATGGATATGTCAAAGGTACAAAATTTCTAAACTATGTTTTGTTTCTGTCCTCTGCTGTATCAGATGTTTCTTTTGACGTTAAGTTCTACACCTTTCTTTCCCTTTCCTTATCAGTACTCTTAGCAGAAAAGGATATACAGCAGGAAGCATAGAAAACATGGAAAGACATAACAATTCACAAATCCTATTAATAATCTTTAATCTTTTAATCTCTCCCATTTTAGTTGTGTGAGACATAGGAAATACAAAAATAACCTCTGCTGAATTCATAAACAAGGCTTAAACTATAGATGTATATGATAAGTAACCTCCCTAGAAAAATAATAATTTTGGTTTTCAATGTTGAGAATAAGAATTATATTAAGAACTGAAGCTAGAATACAAACCTATTAAATTATAAATAGAATTTCAAAATAAACACAAGGAAAAATGTTAATCATTATATTCTACTAATGTTTTGTTACGAGTACTTTGTTAGACATCACAGCCCTAATTTAAAGAATTAAGAAGTGAAAAAGAATTCATCCCAACACTTTCAGAGGTGAATTCCAAAGTGAAAATATGAATTCCGAAGGAAAATGGAAGGTGTGACATAGATAACCACCCTATGTCCTCCTTTAAGCAATTCAAATATTCAAGTCTTATTATTTTAATTTGGTATTGACTTGAGACGCTATTTAGGTAGTAACTTTTAGTGGAAATATCCAGATGTTTGAGGTGGCATAAGAAACTCCAGGAGGGACTTTTCTGGCCCGTTCACCTCCGCCTCCCTACCTAGATTAGGACTAGGCACACGAGAGGTATATCGCAAATATCTATTTTGTTGAAAGCAAATAAATGTGGCATAGTTCAAAAATAATAATAATGCTGTGAATAGGTTAATTACAACTCTACCTATAATGAAAACAATATAAAAATGTTTCTATAGCACGGAAGCAGTAGATCATGAGATCATGAGAGGTAAAGAAATAGAGAAGGCATCCTAGAAAGTTCATTATGATCAGACTAACAAAGCACTGTGACTATCTCCAAAGCACCTGGAAATGGCTTCATCACATAAAATCTCTATGTGATGGAATATTTCTCATAGAATAGAATTCTTAAATGTAGCTATTTCTAAAGTTAAAGCTAAAACCAGGCATTAGGAAGTTAAGGATAAGTTGCAGTACACAAAGTTATTAACTCTTCTTAAGCCAATCAGTTATGGTTTCAGAAAACCGTATCTCAAAATTGTTCCCATTTGTTGAGTGTCTACAAAGTGTCACATAGGTACCACCTGTTTTATATGTATTATTTAACCATTATTTAATCCTTTGTCCTTCAGAAAAAAACACTATTTTGTGGTTATCTGTATCTCTTACCATGTGGTTTTCTGATATGAAGATTGAAAGAATACATATTTCTTGAATGAAGAAATATACAACCCAGATTTTAAAACAGGTAAATCGACCAGCACTCTACGAAAGAAAAATTGACACCCTGTTTCTCTTGCTTGTATAAACTGAATTCCAATTCTTTCCTAACTCAGTACAAGAATCCTCAAAAGCAAGAAAGCTTAAATAAGTTTTCTCAATTACATTTTTTAAATTACCTGAACTCTCAGCTTTGCAGCATCCATCTTTTTACGGAACTCTTTCTGTAATTTTACCTTCATTGCAACATCAGAAAGATCTTTGTTGTCCAGCTCCTGTAGCTGTTTTTGTGTTTCAAAGAGTTTGACTTTTGCCTGTTTTGCATCATGCTCTAGTTTTGTTACTTTCAAAGAATACTGCTTGCTTACAGACTTGGCATCGTTACCTTAACCATAATAATTATTATTAGTATAAATTATGTAAAAAGAAGTTAAACATCAAAAACATAAAAATACTCTACTCTAAAATCCAGCCAGGCAGTGATACTATTTAAGATACAGAATTAAAAACCAAGTTGTCCCCACCCACCCCCATCAAACACAGCTTGCCACCAGGCCTCTTAATGATTAATTCCTTAATGACTGTTCCCATCTGCTGCCACTCAGGCTCCCTTTTAATCTTTTGCATTTTAGAGTGACATTTCTGGTCCTCTGAATTTGTAATTGAGCTTTGCTGGCATCAAACTCAGTTAAGAACAATATTTGGAGTGACTGTCCTCTTGCTTAGTATACTCTAGCCTCCTGCTACCAATGATCTGTCTCCTTGAATTCCTTTTTTAAATTACTGTTAAAAATTTTAAACATAACAAAAGAAATAATAAAATGAACCTCCATCACCCAGATTTGGAAGTTATCAAGATTTTGCAATAGCTACTTAATATGCCTTTTGTTTTACTTTGCTTAACTATTATAAAGCAATCCCAGATGTCATATCATCTCACCTATACATACTTCATTTTGTTAAATTCCTTTTTACTTATACATACTGCAATAACCATTTATATAAAATATGGACATAACCAAAAAGTCATTATCACACTAACAATATTAATACCAATTAGTCCATAGTCAGACTTTCCTAATTGCCTCAAAATGTCTTTCACAATTGGTTTATTTTAATCAGGATCTAAACAACATCCACAATATATTTGATTGTTATGTCTCTTAAGAATCTTTTCATCCAAAGCTGATTCTCCTTTTTCACTGCACTTATTTGAGATTAATTCCTTTTAAATTATTTTCTTATAAATATATAGAACAGAAAAAATATACTATAGATATTTCTACATCTCTTTTCATTCTAAGTCCAGCTACTAACCCTAAAAGTTTGGTTTTGATTTGCTCTGAATGGGCAACTGTCCCTGAACTAGACTGGAAAACTCGTGGCAATAAAAAATAGGAGTCTAAAGCTTGGGGGATGCTGATGAATAATCACCAGAGACAGTTTATTATACTATGTATTTATTTATTGATTTGAGACAGAGTCTCACTCTGTCACCCAGGCTAGAGTGCAGTGGTGCAATCTCAGCTCACTGCCCCCTCTGCCTCCTGGGTTGCAGCAATTCTCCTGCGTAGCTGGGATTCCAGGCACATGCCACCATGCCCAGCTAATTTTTGTATTTTCAGTAGAGACGGGGTTTCACCATGTTAGCCAGGCTAGTCTCAATGTCCTGAACTCAAGTATCTACCCACCTCGGGCTCCCAAAGTGTTGGGATTACAGGCATGAACCACGGCACCTAGCCTATTATACTATTTATATAGCTGGTTATACCTGGTATCCAAAAATGCTCATCATTTTAAAATAAAAGTTATTTAATTAAATGCATTGTGAGCTGTCCTCTGACTCTAATTTACTCTCTATTTGACTACCTTTAAAATTTATACAACAATGATTTAAATAAATCATTTTGGACTATTCATTAATTGTTCAACACACCAATATTTTATGAGCCACTACAAAAAAATACAGTGCCAGGCCAGGTGCAGTGGCTCACGCCTGTAATCCCAGCACTATGGGAGGCTGAGGCAGGTGAATCACCTTAGGTCAGGAGTTCAAGACCTCCCTGGCCAACATGGCAAAACCCCATCTCTACTAAAAATACAAAAATTAGCTGGGCATGGTGGCAGGTACCTGTAATCCCAGCTATTTGGGAGGCTGAGGCAGGAGAAACACTTGAACTCAGGAGGCAGAGGTTGCAGTGAGCTGAGATCACGCCACTGCACATTAGCCTGGATGACAAGAGAAAAACTTCATCTCAAAAAAAAAAAAAAAACAGTGCCAATTACATGTTTGTTTATTTTTTTCAGATAGGGTCTAGCTCTATCGTCTAGGCTAGAGTGCAGTGGTGCAACCATGACTCACTGCAGCCTTGACCTCTGGGGCTCAACAAATCCTCCAACCTCAGCCTCCCAAGTAGCTGGGACTACAGACATATGCCACAATACCCAATACGCTCCTGTAGTTTTTATAAATTTTTTTGCAGTGTATCAGAATTGATAAAATATAATATAGATGTCCTGTTATTGTTAGTTGGCAGAAGTAGCTGCTATTCAAGAGAAGTCTTCAGTGAGAGGGCATTGAAAAGTAAGCACTCACTGACACTTTCACGAGTCACCATCTCTGAGGATTTTTAGGAAAGCTCCAAATTGCCCTTGGTTCTAATGAGCAAGAAAGGACCTTCTCTGTGTAAGCTCTGGTGTCCTCTATTTTAAAGCAACCATGTTGGATATACCAGGCTACAAAAACATGTTTGTTTAATGAGATCCATGGTAAGATAACCTTTCTGAAAGAAAGTAATTCATTGTAGTTGGCAAATATCCTCAAATTCCACAGGCAGTACCCTGAAATCTTGGGAACGGAGAAGCCATTCTAGATCAGCTCCTAGATACTCCCAAGGGGTCAAGTGGGGTTTGATCCTGCCTCTGAGGAAGCAGCATGGTCAAACTTATTTAAACATCTGGGTAACTGGAGCTAGGATGATGCATAGCACATATGTCACTAGGAATGAGAAAACAAAAAGCTTTGGGAAAGTAGCTAAGCAGAGGATGCTTCTTAAAAAATGTAAAAAAAAAAAAAAAAAAGAAAAAGGAACTCATAAGTGCCACAGAATTTCAGCACAATGCAGAGTTCACACTGGTTAGAACAATTCAGAGGTGTAATCCCCGAAGAAAAAAATTCTTTTGATAAATAACCTCCACATATTGGCCTAAAAACTCACCTTGTTACACCAATCCAAGCTAAGTGGATAGACCTGAGCTTCAAAAACTAAAGTAAATGTTACCACATCAGAAACAATTTTAGAACTTTTCTTTGTCATATAAGCTGGTTCACAAGATACTATTACCTGTTTTTATTAATTCTTTAATCAAATCTTCCTTCATCTTTATGTTAATTGTAAGTTCTCTCATTTTTTGTTTAGCTTCAGTAAGTATGCATTCTGAATTCTTTAATTTTTGCAGATTCAATTCTTGACTCTCCTGGAGACATTCAATCTTTACATCTTAAACAAAACAAAACAAAAAAACCTACCAAAACGGAGAAATAAAACTATCTGCTGGTAAGACATTCAACAGAAGCAGAGTTAAGAAAAGCAGACACAAAGGCAATTTAGAGGTGGCAGTGGAAGAGACAAAAAGAAAAGAAAGGAAAAAGTATACATCAACTGGGACTCTAGCATTCCGGCTTACAGTAAGAGTTTTCATTTTCTTACAAATTAATATATATGTATATATTATTTCATAATATCCCATAGGTTCAGACACACAATTTTTCATTGCTTTTAACCTGAGTTATTTGAAACAGGTATAAAATTTCCAGATGGAAAGAGGGATGAATTTGTTTCCTATTAACTTCTACTTTTATTGTAATAGGAGAATGCAGTCTACACAAGGCTACTCAGCATGTGGTCTAGCACTGTTTCTTACTATCCTGCACCAGAATGTACATGAACTGTGTCACTAAGCACACTGCTTTAGTTCAGGTGACATTTTTTTCATCGCCAGACTTTCTTATGGAAGGAACTAGTGTAAGCTCATTTACATTCTGACATAAGTTTTTTCCCTGGTTGCAGAGCAGTAAGAAACAGCTCAAGCATGGCTGCTTGAGTAGCACTTACCTTTATCATTTTTACAGTTTGAAATTTATTTTCGTTATACTTAAATTTTTGGCTCATTAAGCCATGTATAGGTTCTTATAGAGATGCTCTATATTTTCAAAGTGTAGCACTTATCATGTTATTTATATTCACTATTCCCTTATTTTTTGTGAGTCAACCACACATTGCCCAAGAAAGATGAGTTAAAATCTACTACTGCCAGCTGGGCACAGTGGCTCACACCTGTAATCCCAGCACTTTGGGAGGCTGAGGCATGCAGATCACAAGGTTAGGAGTTTGAGACCAGCCTGGCCAACATAGTAAAACCCCGTATCTACTAAAAATACAAAAATTATCTGGGTGTGGTGGCACGCACCTGTAGACCCAGCTATTCGGGAGGCTGAGGCAGGAGAATCACTTGAACTCAGGAGGTGGAGGTTGCAGTGAGCCAACACTGCACCACTGCACTCCAGCCTGGGTGACAGAGCAAGGCTCTGTCTAAAAAATAAATAAATAAACAAACAAACAAACAAATAAATAAATAAATAAAATGTTTTGAAAACTATAGGGTAGTAGTAGTTTTCTTTTTTGTTGTTTTTTGTTTTGTTTTGTTTTTTTGAGAAGGGTCTTGCTCTGTCACTCAGACTTAAGAGTACAGTGGTGTGATCTCAGCTCACTGCAGCCTCGAACTTTTGGGCTCAAGTGATTCTCCCACCTCAGCCTCCCTCCTGAGTAGCTGGGACTATAGGTATGCACCACCATGCTGGGCTTATTTTCTGTAGAGAGAAGATCTCACTATGTTGCTCAGGCTGGTCTCAAACTCCTGGCCTCAAGCAATTCTCCCACTTCAGCCTCTCAAAGCACTAGGATTACAGGCATGAGCTACTATGCCTGGCTCATAAATGTTTTTGATGCTGTTACTGATGCATAAAAATTCTTAGCAGTTGTATACTAAAACATTACCAACACCCAGTATATTAACTGAATTTTAATGCCAAATACATCATTGATGTTAGTGAAGGAGCAGAAACCTACTACAATTACTTACACTGTATTTTAAAGTCATCAGGAGTACAAAGCATACCAATTCAGATCTGAATATAAAAATCCTTATTCTGAGGGAGTTAGCCTATATCTCTAGCCATAATTAATTGACAGAAAATCTTTTCTAGAGTAGAAAGAGTGAAAGAGGTTAAAACAGAGAACATAAAAGAAGTTCTACCAACCAGGAGTGCATTTGTACCTAGTTATGGTCTTTGAGAATTCCTGGATGTTTCTTAATTATCAACTGAGGCAAAAGGTAAATATCCTATAACCATTAGGTCTAAATTATTTATGAAAATCTATGTACCATCATTTTCCAAATTTGACTTTTGTGTTTCATCCTGAGTATCATTCAATTCAACAAGGGAACAAACAGAGTCTGGCTTCTGAATCCATGAACGACTAGTACATCTAAAAAAAAAAATCAGAAAATTAACTTATGTGTTAGCATTTTCTAATCTGCCCTCAAATTAGTTTCCCCAAAAAAGTGACAGCAATGTTAAAAAAAAAAATTAATTACATTTATAAACAGAATTTTACTATTATTGTTCAAAATGAAAGGATGCCTCCCCATGTTGAATCCAGTAGAAAAGTCATGTTTGTTGAAATCATGGCAGATGAATAAGGAAATTAAAAAAAAAAAATTCCCTCTGAAAATTAGAATCTGATTACTATAAAAGCTCCGAAAGCAAAAGCAAAATTATTTTTCAATTATAAGTCTGATGATTTGGATTCAAATACTATTTTCATAATATATTCGATGATAGTACTTTTAGCAAAAGTTATCTACTCTTATATTAAACGGAAAAGATATACTCCAGTGTAAAATACCTACACTTCTATATTTATTGCATCACATAATTCTAAATGTTTATTAAATCAGTGTATATTTAACATACCTAGTTCCAGATTTCTCTTGGCCTTCTGATTCTTCATCATCACTGTTATCAGAAAATTGGCAATGGAGGACTTCATCTTGTTCTTCTATATGACCCAAGAGCATCTGACTTCGTGTTCTAAATCCAGCAAATATTCGATCCAGAGAGTACATAGGCAGACTTGTACAGACCTTGCAAGTGATTCCCCCACCACCAACAAAAAAAAGATATTTTACAAGTCTAATTTTATCCTGTTACTCTAGATGATTTTAAAGGGGTTGTTAAATAGGCACTCTTAAAATAGCCAATCAATGGAAAATGCTCCCCTCAAACAAAGGTCAAAATTAATTTAACAATATTGTTGTGCCTCACAGACAAATACTTCTTTCAGAATATACACAGCATCTTCTCTTCTGGACAACTCTTCTATCTTCACTTATGGAAAGTAGTATTCAAAAATGAAACCAAAAGGTGTAGAAAACATCCCAGCTTTTAAAACACAGCACAGACACAGCCCAAAAAATGTTCCCGTTTCCCCATCTTCCCAGTTCAGAACACCTGGAGAACTGTGGTGCTGCTGCCAAAAGTCTGCATCCTCTCCAATCCAAATCCCACCACAGGAAGAAACTCAGAGCCATCTCCACTCCTTCTGCCAGGCCAATACTCCCAATTTGAAATCATAATGTATCTACTTATTTTTTATAGATGGTGGTTAGGTATAGCTGAATTAAGGCTCCAGGAAAAATAGTTAATATATTTCATAAGATAAGTAAAATTGTATGGGCTAGCCTGGGAATTTTCTGTATTATAAAATTTTTCCATTGGAAATGCACTTTAAATTCTAAAAAAAATGACTTTAGAAAACAACAACAATAAATTAGAAATTGCCTTTATACCTTTGCTCTGGTTTCTATTGCAAAATATTTCCCTTTTCATCACCTCTATAACCAAACCTCGAGATGAATTATCACAAAAGGTAATAAAATCTTAAGAGGAGACAGTCCATTTATCAATATAAATTACTATAAGCTGTTAAAATTGTAACACATAGTAGAATATGAGTATCATATAGTGTTTGGGATTTAATCACTTGACAAACAGGCCCCTCATGTATTCTCTCCTAAAAAAAATCCTACGTGATTCTGAAAATCATCTTATGTCTGATTTTTGTGCTTCCGCTGTCAGCCACCTTACATCATCTATCACAACAGCATCATGACAGATGGGGCTAAAGTTTTTTAGTTGGCATCCCAGTGGAGTATGAGGAAGGGGAATTCTTTAAGGAAGAACCAACTCAAGAAGTATTGATCTAACAAGTATAATACATGGCTATTTTGTCCCATAACTGGCAGGCATCTAGGTTTCTCTTGTGAGAGTGTGGGAATTATTGAAGGAACAAATAAAACCTTTGGTTCAGAGTCAAAGTTTGTTCTCTGGGATTGTAATTTCCTTTTAAAATTTCTTTTTACAAAGAAAACCAAATGTCCAGAGCTACTACAGTATTCATACCCAAGACTGCCTGATGCAAAGTCTATGGCACTGCTTATACATCACTTGCCTTTCATTTCTTATCCTTCTGATTGTAACAACCAGATGGAGCTGACATAAATAAGTCATTTTCCTTCATAAAATTAGGAAATATGGCCAAGTGTGGTGGTTCACATCTATAATCCCAGCACTTTGGGAGGCCGAGGCAGGTGGATCACGAGGTCAAGAGATCAAGACCATCCTGGTTAACGTGGTGAAACCTCATCTCTACTAAAAATATAAAAATTAGCTGGGCATGGTAGCACACGCCTGTAGTCTCAGCTACTTGGGAGGCTGAGGCAGGAGAACTGCTTGAACCCAGGAGGCAGACATTGCGGTGAGCCGAGATCGCGCCATTGCACTCCGGCCTGGGTAGTAAGAGTGAAACTCCGTCTCAAAAAAAAAAAAAAGAAATAAAAACCAGAATTCATGAACCTGCTAAACCAAAACTCATGAATCTGCTAATGAAGTCTTTTCCATAATAGAGATTCCTTGAGGATTCTTATATCTGTGTGTATATATATTTACCAACCACACACAACCTAAAATTCATATTGATATTTATAGTCTTGATTATGTCTACTTAGTAAGACTGAATAACATATAAATATTATTTCAAAAATAATGACAGACCAAACAAGTTGAAATAAATACCCTCTAACATCTCAGCTTTGTGTGGTGAAAGGAAGAAATAAATTCATGTAGATATTAAACAAGATCATATCTGAAAATATCATAGCAAAGGATATCTTTTTCACATTGTTGAAGTATAGACATTATATCCACCCAACTATTCCCTCCAAATATAACTATGTATTCTCATTTATTAGTTTTTTATTAGAAAGAAATATGCTTAAAAGATATACACAAAATTCCATAAAACCAAACTGATATTTGGTTTTTTGTATAGTGCTGAGACTGTACAAATACACTGTGATATTATATATAGCTAAATTTTTTAAACCTCAAAATAAGAAAAAGATTAATGTTTGAACTTTACCTTCCTGGAATCTTGTCTTGATGGGATATAAATATAATGCCCCAAACGACTATCAAATGGTACAGTATATGGTCTCTTTTCAGGGATCATGGCATCTGGCCCATCTCCACAATTTTCCTTAGCTGAAGAAGTCACTGACAGGTTAAGTTTTGTTAGTTCTTCACTCAGTTGATCCACAAGAAGTTGTTGTTCTATTATTTTTTCATTCTTTGTAGAAGAGAGATGAAAATTTTAAAAACAGAGCCTTTCAGGACATTTGGATTTTGATTAAAAATGAATTTTACATTGACCAAAATCACAACTACTTTAATAATACAGTCAATTTTCATTTATCCAGAGACTAGCCCTCTGGTATTCATAAGTAACTAAGATTATTCTGAGTGGCAAAACCTTTTTAATAGCAAGAAGCAACAAACAGTCAAAAAAAGTCAAATACTCAAAGATAATACACCATCCACTGTGACTGGTTGCTGTGCAAACCTCAACATTTTGATCAGCTTTCTTTATTAAAATATGGACTTTCTGAGTAAAACCTAAGAAGTAAAAGAAACAAGAAAGTTGAAAAAGTGCAGAAAGAATTGTAGACAGCAGAGGTTGCAGCAAAGGAGGCAGAAGGAGGTAACAAGTGCAGGGAAGTAAAAGCCTTAATGAAAATGGAAGCAAAAAGCACAGAAATAGTATACAGCCAACTGATAATCCTGAGAGGAGAGAGAACTTGGAAACCAAAGGTGCAAGGACTATGCACACAGGGCTATGTGTGTGTGTGTTAGTGTGTGTATGTGGTTTAGTTTTTTATGTAATCTCTAAAGAAAATTTTTGAAGTGTATCTAATCCAGAAAGCTCTAATGTCAATCTTTGTTTTACAAGCACAAATTTATGTAAATAAGAAACAGTCACTCATCTTTTTATTTTTGAGATGGAGTCTCACTCTGTCGCCCAGGCTGGAGTACAGTGGTGCAATCTTGGCTCACTGCAACTTCTGCCTCCCAGGTTCAAGCAATTCTCCTGCCTCAGGCTTTCAAATAGCTGGGACTACAGGTGCCTACCACAATGCCTGGCTAATTTTTTAGTAGAGACGGGGTTTCACCATGTTAGCCAGGATGGTCTCGATCTCCTGACCTTGTGATCCACCCACCTCAGCCTCCCAAAGTGCTGGGATCACAGGTGTGAGCCACCACGTCCAACCAGTCATTCATCTTAATACTTCACATGTACTACAATGTTGAAACAGGAAAAAACAAAAAACAAACAGAAAAAACACCCCTTACATTTTCATTGTATAAATGCTGAGCAATAAAAATGCAATCTTATTTTAAAATCATGTATTCAGATAATTAAAATATACATCAATAGCATATAAATTAAAAAGGATTCAGTGGAGTTCTTACATTGTCTGGGAAAGGGATAAAAGTACCAATTAATATTAGGGTGCATGTACTCTCTAGAATAACCACTATAAAAACAGCAAAACCTTAACTTCTAAATTAGTGGAGAAAACAACAGAAAAAGTAAAAATACCCAGTGGATCCAAAAAAAGGGTAAAAAGAAGAGAAAAAAGAACACAGAGGAGGAAGGATAAATAAAAGGCACAATGGTGGATTTTTACCAAAATAGTAATTATATTAATAAATAAATTAAATAATGAAATTAAATACAAAGACTATCAGGATTTTAAAATTATCTAACCATATGCTGATTACAAGAAACATATCTAAAATAGACACAGATTAAAAATAAGATAGTAAAAGAGATGCCATGTAAATATTAATCAAAAGAAAGCTGGTGTAGCTATAGTAATATCAAGGTAGACTTTAAGGCAAAACTCATTAGAAGAGATAAAAAGAGGTAAAATTGATTAAAAGAGCAATTCTCCAGGATGATATAACAATTCTACATTTGTATGCACTTAATAAAACAGTTTCAATATTTATAATGCAAAAATTTATCAGCACTTCATGGAGAAGTAAGAAAAATCCAAAATTATAATAGGGTCAGGCTCACATCTATAATCCCAGCACATTGGAAGGCCAAGGCCAGTAGATCACTTAAGTCCAAGAGTTTGAGAGCAGCCTGGACAATGTAGGGAAGAACCCCTTCTCTACAAAAAAATACATAAATTAGCCAGGCATGGTGGTGTGCACCTGTGGTACCAGCTACTCAGGAGGCTGAAGTGGGAGGATTGCTTGAGCCCAGGAGGTCAATGCTGTAGTGACCCATGATTGTGCTACTATGCTCCAGCCTGGGAGACAGACTGGAGATCTGTCACATGCGAGATTTTAACATCACTTTATAAATTAGTGATATAACAAAAACACTTCCAAGATAAGTTAAAAATGTAGATTTGAAAAACAAGATTAACAGTGCCCAATGATTGCAGAATGCATATTCTTCTCAAGTACTTCTGTAATATTTATAAAAATTTGCCTTATTCTAAGCCAAAAAGCAAATTTCAATACCTTCAAAAGGACTGAAATCAGACATAGTATGTTAACTGATCACAATGCAATAAAAATTGATGAAACAAAAATAAATCCCCCATGTCCTGTAAGTAAAATAATTATGTTATTCACAAGTCAAAAAGAAAGTCACAATGAAGATTAGGAAACATTTTGAGCTCAACGTGGAGTGCAATCAAGATAAACTTAGAAATACACATATAATGTTAAATGCATATATTATCAAAGAAGAGAAGCTAAAAATCAATATACTAAATATTCATCTAAAGATGTTATAAAGATAACAGATTACCCCAAAAGAAGAAAGAATTAAATAATAAATGAAATAGTGAACGAACTAATGAAATAATGAAGTACTTGACTTTTGACTTTGTTAATCTAACAAACAAACATTAGTGAAGATTAACAAAGGGAAAAATTGTCTCTTTGAAGAGACTAATGAATTGGTAGTTTTACTAGTGAAACTACAAGCAAAAAAAAAGTGAGAGAAGGCACAAATAATCAGGAATGAGAAAGGGGACATGTGACTACATAGCGAAAGATATTAATGAGATAAAAGACTATCATAAACTTATGCCAATACATTTGGAAATTAGATACAGTGGTCAAATTCCTAGAAAAATAAACCTTATCAAAACTGGAGAAAAAGAAAATATTAATATAATTTAATTCATAAAACATTCCCCCAAAGAAAATTTCCAGTCCCAAATGCTTACCAGGCTAATTCAACTAAACATTTAAGAAAGAAATAATGGCCGGGTGTGATGGCTCACACCTGTAATCCCAGCACTTTGGGAGGCCAAGGTGGGCAGATCACCTGAGATCAGAGGTTCAAGACCAGCTTGACCAACATGGAGAAACCCTGTCCCTACTAAAAATATAAAATTAGGCCAGGTGAGGTGGCTCATCCCTGTAATCCCAGCACTTTGGGAGGCCAAGGCAGGCAGATCACGAGGTTAGGAGTTTGAGACCAGCCTGACCGACATGGTGAAACCCCATCTCTACTAAAAATACAAAAAAATTAGCTGGATATGGTGGTGCACACCTATAATCCCAGCTGAGGAGGCTGAGGCGGGAGAAGTGCTTGAACCCAGGAGGCAGAGATTGTAGTGAGCTGAGATCATGCCATTGCACTCCAGCCTGGGTGACAGAGTGAGACTCTGTCTCAAAAAAAAAAAAAAAAAATTAGCCAGGCCTGGTGGTGCATGCCTGTAGTCCCAGCTACTTGGGAAGCTGAAGCAGGACAATCGCTTGAACCCAGGGGGCGGAGGTTGCAGTGAGCCGAGATGGCGCCATTGCACTCCAGCCTGGACAACAAGAGCAAAACTCCAACTCAAAAAAAGAAAGAAAGACATAGTATCAATTTTTTGGATACCCTTCCAGGTATAGGGGGACACTAAATAATCTATCTTATGAGGCCAGTATAACTTGTTATAATACCTGACAAGAATATTATAAGAAAGAAAAATATAGGACAAGCTCACTGACAAATATCCTAAACATCACATTAGCAAACCAAATCTAGGACAATTGTGCAGAAAAAAGTTAACATAGCAGATTTGACTGCTATCTTTTAGAAGACCTGCTATGAGGTTGTCAGATATCTGAGAACTTAGATTTCGGGAGTGTTCCTAAACACCCTGATAACACTGACTCACTATGCTTAATTACTGGCACAATCAATGCGGTTTATGCTCTACACCTGCTTTCCTTCAGGTAGTCTGGGACTTTGATTCATGCTAGGCAAAGGACGCCTTCATGACCCACTGTCCTCAATATAACCCATGGACACTGAGTCTACTGAGTTTCCCTAGCAGGTAACATTTTATAGGTGTTGTCACAACTCCTTGCTAGGGGATTAAGCACATCCTCTGTGACTGCTCCATTCTAATAAAAATTCTCAGTAATTTCCTTAGTTTGGGAAAGGGTAAATTAAAAATACCTATAGAAAATATAATACTTCAGAGTGAAATTTTGAAAGCTCCTCTATAACTGGAAACAAGACAAAGATGCTTTCTATCACCACTTGTATTCAACACTGCATTTGAGATCCCAGCAAATATACGTTATTTTTATAATAACTTTATTGAGACAAAATTCACAAACTATAGAATCCAACTATTTAAAGTATACAATATAGACAATACAGAAGAAAAAGATACAGAAAGATAAAGGATTATAAAGAAATGAAACTGTCATTATTTGCAGGTGATATAATTACAAATGAAAATCCAAAAGAATTTACAGATAAAATATTAGAATTAAAAAGTGAGTTTAAGCTGGGTGTTATGGCTCATGCCTGTAATCCCAGCACTTTGGGAGGCCAAAGCAGGCAGATCATTTGTAGTCAGGTGTTTGAGACTAGACTGACTGACATAGTGAAACCCTGTCTCTACTAAAAACACAAAAAAATTAGCCAGGCGTGGTGGCACATGCCTGTAGTCCCACCTATTCAGGAGGCTGGGGCAGGAGAACTGTTTGAACCCGGGAGGCAGAGGTTGCAGTGAGCCGAGATTGCGCCACTGCACTCCAGCCTGAGTGACAGAGAGACTCCATCTCAAAAAAAAAAAAAAAAAAAGCAGCAGAAGCAGTAAGTTTATGGCCAGGCATGGTGGTGGGTTCCTAGAATCCCAGCTACGTGAGAGGATGAGCCAGGAGAATCGCTTGGGCCCAGGAGGGAGAGGTTGCAGTGAGCTGAGACTGTGACACAGTGAGACTCTGTCTCTGGGAAAAAAAAAAAAAAGGAATTACTTCCAAAAAGTTTGGATCTTTCTATTTATCTCAGGAATTTTTAAGGCTTCCCACCTAGTGACAACTGGACACTCCTGATACCATCAAAAAGTGAGTTGTCAGGTTGCTGGATAAATGAAGTATTAATATGGACAACATGTTCCATACCAACAATTAGGAAATCAGAAAAATGAAATTTTTTAAAAATACCATTTATAGTGACAGAAAAAAATCAAGTACCTACAAAGAAATCTATAAATTATTTGCAGTATTTCTGCACGAAAAAATGTAGGCCATTACTGAGAAAAACCAGACTAAATACAAGTAAATAGAGAACTATACCATGCTTACGAATTAAGAGACTCAATCAAAATATGTTCATTAATTCTAAACAGATATATAAATGTAATTCAATGTTAATTAGTGAATTAATGTTAACCAGCTTGATTGACTCTTTCTATAATGTATACGTACATCAAAACATTACATTGTATCCTAGAAACATACACAATTATTATTTGACCATGAAAAATAAATGAAAATAGCATACTAAGTGAAAGAAGTCACATACAAAGGCCACTTACTGTATGATTCCAGTTATATGAAATGTTTAGAATAGGCAAATCAATAGAGGTAGAAAGTAAAGTGGTTTTTGCCAGAGGCTAAGGAAAGAAGGAAAATGAGCAACTGCTAATGGATACAAGATTTCATTTTGCGGTGATAAAAATATTTTAAAATTAGATGGTGTGATGGTTAGACAATTCTGTAAATACACTAAAAAAAATCACTGATTGTATATGTGAAAAGCTGAATTCTACAGTATGGAAATTATATCTCAATAAAATTATTATTTAAAAATGTTTAAATTAAAATAAAATGTATATGGAACATCCAAGACATTTGGAGAGTGAGGAAGGAAGGAGACTAGCAGAAGGCCTTGCTCTACAAAATACCTAGACTTATAAACCTACAATAAATAAGAAATGTGATGCTAGCTGAAGTATATACAAATCAACCAACACAATAGAAGGCAAAGAAATAGATAAGAGATGCCGGGCGCAGTGGCTCACGCCTGTAATCCCAGCACTTTGGGAGGCCGAGGCGGGTGGATCATGAGGTCAAGAAATCGAGACCATCCTGGTCAGCATGGTGAAACCCCGACTCTACTAAAAATACAAAAACTTAGCTGGGCATGGTGGTGCGTGCCTGTAATCCCAGCTACTCGGGAGGCTGAGGCAGGAGAATTGCCTGATCCCAGGAGGTGGAGGTTGCAGTGAGCCGAGATCGCACCATTGCACTCCAGCCTGGGTAACAAGAGCAAAACTCCGTCTCAAAAAAAAAAAAAGAAATAGATAAGAGATTCATGCACAAATAGACCTTAATTTATAATAAAGATAGCACTCAAAACAGTTGTAAAAAGATGGATTCCAATAAATGTTGCTGGGACAAATGAGTATCTCTGTTTAAAAAACGCAATTTGATCTTTATTTTATCCCATACACAGAAATCAATTCCTGAAGGACTATACAGCTAATATGAAAGACAAAACAATAAAGCTTCAGAAGATAATATAGAAAATATCCTCAGAGAAAACAATTGGGGAAAGGAAAAACTTACTAGGGAACAAATATCACTAACCATAAAGAAAAAGACTGATAAATTTGATTACAGTAAGAACTCTTCATCAAAAACACCACTAAGAGTAAAAAGGAAGCCACAGAAAGAGAAAAATTATTTGCAATCATACCCAAAATATCCAACAAGAGCTCATACCCATAATATATAACAAACTTCTACAAATTAATTTAGGAGACAGGTAACTCAATCGAAAAATAAGCAAGAGACTTGACTGAGTACTTCACAAAGGAGGATATGCAGATAGCCAAAAACCTATGAAAAAAAAATGCTCAACCTCACTCGTCATCGTGGAAATGCAAACTAAAACCACAATAAAATGATGCTACATATCTACCAGATTGGCTAAGATTTAAAAATTAACAATAACAAATGTTGAGAAGCATATGGAACAGTGGGAATGCCCACATAGTGCTGGGTGGGAGTGTAAAATGGAAAACAATCTGGTATTACCTATAAAAATTGAAGATACACCTACCCTATGACCTAGCAATTCAACTCCTAGCACGAAATCTGAAAGAAATGTGTGTGCATGTGTACCAAGAGACACTGAAAATTCACGAGAAAATTTCACAGAAAACCACAAATGTCCATCAAACAGTAGAACAGAAAATAAATTGTGGTATAGTCACACAATAAAATCCTATGTAGCTATCAAACTAAACAAACCACAGTTACGCATTATAGATAAAATATTACAATTTACAGAAAAAATATTACCATTAAAAAGTGGATGAATCATAACAATGTTCAACAAAACCAGTCAGATACTGAATAATGTATACTGAATAGATTAACAAAAATTCCAAAAACTAAACTGTAGTGTTTAAGGCACATATTTAGATAATAAAACCATAAGAAAAGGCAAAGAAATGATTACCATGTAAGTCAAGAGAGTGGCTCTCTTTTAAGGAAGAGGGAGTAACAGTGATTGTAAGGAGGCACTAAGAATTTTGAGGCACTGGCAGTTAGCAATTTCTTGACCTGGTGGTGGTTACCCAGCCATTCTCTTTGTGATAAATCACTGAATAATATGTATTGTTTTGTATATACTTAAGTTTTACGTTTTTAAATTATACAATTATGGCCATGCATGTTGGCTCATGCCTGCAATCAATCTCAGCACTTTGGGAGGCTGAGATGGTAGGATCACTGAGCCCAGGAGTTTGAGATCAGCTTGAGCAACACAGTGAGACCCTGTCTCCACAAAAAAATCAGAAAATTAGCCAGGCATTATGGTGTGCATCTATAGTTGCAGCTACCCAGGAGGCTGAGGTAGGAGGATCACTTGAGCTCAGGAGGTCGAGGCTGCAGTGAGCTGTGACTGTGCCAGTGCACACCCACCTGAGCAACAGAGATCCTGTCTCAAAACAAAAACAACAACAAAACACAATTAGAAGGGTTAAAAAAGAAAACAAAAATCAAATAATGTGAAAATCAAAATCTGGTATGTCCTGGATTAGATTATTTCTCAGGGCATTAGTTATTCCCTGATAGGAAGCTAAAGGCTTTAAATGATATTAGCTATTTGGGCTGATGGGAGAAGCCACAGCCAGGGAGCATAATATTTAGAGGCATACTATGTTATACTGTAGACATATCCATGTTAATAATAGGAAAGCTAAGACAGAAAATTTGAAATAGTTAAGCAAAGTTAAAAAGCAAATCACTCACAAGGTATAAGAGGATAACTTAAATACATTTTAAAGTTTAAATTATTGTATTTACCTTTCAACTCCTAACAATATTGCATTGCCTATAGTACCCTGGCAAACAACAGGAGGGAAAAGTATGGAAAAATCATAACCATAATATGATTTATAAATTAATTTCCTGGATATTATCTTTATATTTCTAAAACCAAAGTCAAGCTAACAATAAAAAATGTTTCCATTTAAGCAGATTTAAGGGAAAAGCTAATAATTCTTTCAGGTGCCTATGTTCAGAATTCTTCAAATGAACATAAGTTCCCATTTAGCATTTAAAATGCTACCGTGTTTAGTTAGGTACTATTTCAAGTAAATCTACAGAGATAGATACGTTAAGAAACCTACCCGCAATCTATTCACTTTTTGTACTTCTTTCAAAGATACAGCATGCCCTTTGTTTTCCTGTACCATCATCTGCACTTGATTCTTCAGCTCCTTTACCTCCAGTTCCTTCTGATTAAATACTACTTCTTCAGCAGCGAGAGCATACTAGTGGGGAAAGAAGGCACAAGTGACACTCACCATGGAAAATTACCAAGAAACCCCATATAGTAACAAAAAAGGTGACTTGATTATACCTTGATGATGTCTCACAAATTGTTTTTTTCATTTTCAACTTTCTCTGATTTCTTTCTAAGAAAGGCAGAAATAGTTGAGAGAACCTATCATTGCTACAACATAGGAATTCATTACCATGAAGACAGGAAGATTTTCCTGAGATGGATGGATAGATAAATAGATAGATAGATAGACAGACAGATAGATGGATTTTTTTTTTTTGAGATGGAGTCTCACTCTTGTTGCCCAGGCTGGAGTGCAATGGCATAATCTCAGCTCACTGCAACCTCTGCCTTCCGGGTTCAAGCGATTCTCTGCCTCAGGCTCCCAAGTAGCTAGAATTACAGGCGTCCACCACTACGCCTAATTTTTATATTTTTAGTAGAGATGGGGTTTTATCGTGTTGGCCAGGCTGGTCTGAACTCCTGACCTCAGGTGATCCGCCTGCCTAGGCCTCCAAAAGTTACAGGCACAAGCCACCACACCCAGCCAATTTTCCTAATTTTTAACTTCCTGTATATGAAAACTGTCTACTTGAGAAGCTTAAAATATAATGGCTTTCCCATACTTAAATATTTATAATATTTAAAACATTATAAATAAGCATTTTACATATTTGAATCTGTAATTTTAGCTTCCTTAAATATTTTTTAAATATTTAGATATTTTTACATATGCTTTATAACTTAGTTTTATTTGGTTTATTATTTATTTAAAAGAGCATTTATCTGTTCAATGCATTTGTGTTCATGTATTTTTTCTGTGTTCAAAACTTGGATTAAAAAGGGCAATAAAGTCCCTTAAGAGATTATTTATGAGCAGGTGGAATGTTCCAAAAATTGACTCATGGTGCAAAATCAGGGTTGCAACAGCATCTGGCAGTTTCTAAAAAGAAGATGGTAACTTCAAAATGACACTTACTTCCCTAGCAAAAATCCAGCTGTTACTCCATCTGTAAGATGGCCCATGATCTTAACTTGACTAAGAATTTTTAAAATAAGTACTTACCTGCTTGCCTAATAGGCTCAAGGATAACAGGAGTTGAGAAAAGAATATCCTTGCTTATCACACAGATGTTCTGGTCACCTTGCCCAGCAATCTCCCTAAACAGCTGAGTTTACCAAGCAGCCTTCAGAGTAACCCCTGGGATGTATCCCTACCCACAACTACTGAGCTTAGCTACCACTGATGTATATCCTAGGCAAAGGCAGGTGAAAAATAAATGACAAGTATATATAGTAATAAGCTAACATATATTGAGCCTTAGAACAGGCCAGGCATCTCATTGCTTTATGGGAACTAACGCTTTAATATTTGCACAGCCCTATGAGGTGGGTATTACTGTTTCCGTTTTATAGATGGGTAAGCTGAAGCACAGAGAGGTCAACTATTTGACCCAGATCATACAGGTAGTAAGAAAAGGAGGCAGGATTGAAACTTAGGGAGTTTGGTATCCATATTCCTAACCAGTATGTTATTCTGCCTCTCACAGAAGAACAGAAAAGAAAGTTTTAAAAATGTTTTTTTAGCCAGGTACACTGGCACACACCTGTAGTCCCAAGATATTCATGAGGCTGAAGTGAAAGGCTATCTCCCAAGTAGCTGGGACTACAGGTGCATGCCACCACACCCAGCTACTTTTTTTTTTTTAATTTTTTGTAAAGACAGGGTTTCACTCTGTTGCCCAAGCTGGTCTTGAATTTCTTGATTCATCCACTTTGGCTTCCCAAAGTGCTGGAAATACCGGTGTAAGCCACTATGCTGGCCTAAACGGTTTTTTTTGTTTTTTTTTGAGACAATGTCTTGCTCTGTCACCAGGTTGGAGTGCAGTGGTGTGATCTTGGCTCACTGTAATCTCCGCCTCCCAGGTTCAAGTGATTCTCCTGCCTCAGCTTCCTAAGTAGCTGGTATTACAGGCATGCGCCACCACACCCAGCTAATTTTTGTATTTTTAGTAGAGACAGGGTTTCACCAAGTTGGCCAAGCTGTTTCAAACTCCTGATCTCAAGTGATCCCCCCACCTTGGCCTCCCAAAGTGCTGGGATTACAGACATGAGCCACTGCACCCAGCCCAAAACAAGTTTTAAAAGAGATACAAACTGGGCACAGCATTCACGCCTGTAATCCTAGTACCTTGGGAGGCAAAGTCGGGGGATCACCTGAGGTCAGGAGTTTGAGACCAGCCTGGCCAACATGATGAAACCCCACCTCCACCAAAAATACAAAAAACAGCTTGGGGTGTGGTAGCACGTGCCTATAATCCCAGCTGTTCAGGATTATAGGAGAATTGCTTGAACCCGGGAGGCTGAGGTTGCAGTGAGCTGAGATTGCACCACTGCACTCCCACCTGGGTGACAGAGTGAGAAAAATAAAAAAAGAAAGATACACAAGGTGAGGAATGACACAAATCATTTTGCCATCTGCCATCCAAAAGGAAAGATTGGTATGCAAAGATTACTAGTCCTAGTCCTGCAAGATCCCAGACAAAAAAAGGAATCCATTTTTTAAAATCAGGTACCACATGTCTTTTACTTTGAGATTCATAATATGCATTAGCACTTTCAAAGGTCTGAGAGCTCCTGCGATTAAGAAAGCTGTTTGCTGGCATAAGATTTAGATTTTTAAAAAAGAAAGGTGGGTTGTGGTGGCTCATGCCTGTAATCCCAGCACTTTGGGAGGCTGAGGCAGGAGTTATCGCTTGAGCTCAGGAGTTTGAGACAAGCCTGGGCTACGTGGCAAGACCCTGTCTCTACAAAAAAATATAAAATTAGCCTCACATGGTGACCTGTGCTCCCAGCTACTTGGGAGGCTGAGGTGGAAGGACTGCTTGAGCCCTGGAGGTCAAGGCTGCAGTGAGCCATGATCATGCCACTATACCCCAACCTAGGTGACACAGGGAGACCGTGTCTCAAAAAAAAAAGAAGAGAGAAAGAATTCTGATTGCTTTTTGCAACCTACCATTCCCAAAATAATCTCATTATGGTACTTTTTCAACAAAACTGTTAACTTCTTTAGGATGTAATAATCTAGAGAACATAATCGAGAGCAAACTTAAATTTATTTTCCAGCATGTGGAAAGAGGAAGTTACTACCTACCTTACCCCCAAGCAATGGGTTTGATGGGCTTCCATTTCAGCCACCTTAGAAGCATGAAGGAAAAGTACCTCCTACTGCCAACTCCTATATGCGTTCCAACATTCAAGCTTCCAATTACCAGTACTTCCTGTTCCACCAGTTTTTTTGTTTGTTTTTTTGAGACAGTTTCACTCTTGGTCCCCAGGCTGGAGTTCAATGATGCAATCTTGGCCCATTGCAACCTCCACCTCCTGGGTTCAAGCGATTCTCCTGCCTCAGCCTCCTGAGTAGCTGGGATTACAGGCATGAGCCACCACACCCAGCTAATTTTATATTATTACTAGAGACAGGGTTTTACTATGTTGGCCAACCTGATCTCGAACTCTTGACCTCAAGGGATCCACCTGCCTCAGCCTCTCAAAGTGCTGGGATTACAGGCGTGAGCCACTGCACCTGGCAGTTTCTTATACTAACAAGGAACAGCCTACTCTACCTAGGCAGAGTTATTAACTTTCAGAAAAAAAAAAAAAAAAACTCAAAAAAATGATTTCAAAAGTATTACATCTTTTTATGTTATTTATTTATTCATTTATATTTAGAGACAGGGTCTCACTCTGCCACCCAGGCTGGAGTGCAGTGGTGCAATCATAGCTCACTGCCGTCTTGAACTCCTGGGCTCACTTGAGCCTCCCACCTAAGCCTCCCGAGTAGGTGGGACCACAGCCACCATGCCTAAGTTTTTGATTTTTTGTAGAGACACATGTCTCACTTTGTTTCCCAGACTAGTCTCAAACTCCTGGGCTCAAAGCAATCTTCCAGCCTCAGCCTCCCAAAGTGCTATGATTACAGGCATGAGCCACTGTGCCTGGCTAAGACTAGTACATTTTTAATGTACAGATCTTAATGTAACAAAATAGTTTCAAATCTCATATTTCAGGCAACTAGAAATTTCTACTTGTTGAGTTTTGGTGTAATAGTAAAGAAGAATATCCACAACTATCTGAAAAAAATCAGTGAAATACTCCTCCCTTCAAACTACACAACTATGAGGCTATACTATAATATGAGGCTGAGGCTGAATTTTCTTCACAAACTTCAAGCAAAACAACATATTGCAACAAACTGAATGCTGAAGCAGATATGAAAATCCAACTGTTATTAGGCCAGATGTTAAAAGAGATTTGCAAAAATGTAAAGCAATTCTACTCTCATTAAAATTGTGTGTTAGAAAATATTTTTCATTAAAAATGCTCTTTATATTAACATGTAATTGGGTTACTGTTAGTTTTGAATGAATTAATAAATAGCTTAGATTTTTTTCAGTTTTAATGCTAACACGGTAAGTATCAATAGATATAACCCACATAAACAAAAGCTCTTTGAGGGATCTCGCTTTAAAAGCATAAAGAAGTCTTGTGATCAAAAATTTCTGAGAACTGCTGTAACAAAGGATGACACAAATGCCTTTTTTTATAATGCTACACATAAAAAGGCTTTGAGGAAATACTTCTAGCTAGATAAGAAGTAAGCTTAGAGCTTTAAAAAAAAGGAAATATACTTAAAGGATATTTCTTTTTTAACTAAAAAGCTCTTTTTAACTGTAAGTGTTCTTATTTTGAAAAATGGACAGAACCATGGAAGCTGGAAGCAATGTTATCTCAAGAAAAACTGAAGGACCATTCATTTGCTCACTAGATTGCAAACTTCAAGCAAGCAATAACGAGGTGTGTCCTGTCCTCCACTATTCCCACCATGACATACAATCTTCACACAATAAATAGTTTCTGAATGAGAAGTGGGGAAACTCAATATATGTACATATAACATGCACACATGTACATACATATATTCCTTAAATATTAATAAATATATTAACTTGTTGGTTTTTTTTAAAACCTATATTCCAAACACAAGGGATGAAGTATTTTTTTCTTTCAAGAACTACTGACCCATAGAGGGAGAAAAACTCAGTAGAAGATAACTTAATTTTATTTCTGAAACATGTTTATTTTCAATCTCTAAATTGACAACCAGGTCCACAAAGTTCTCTTTAATAAATATAACAAATTAAAATATATTTTAACCAAAGGAGAAAAGAGGAGGAGCCAAGAAGGGTATGAAGAGTGAGGAGGAAGCAATAGGAAAAGGGAGGGTAGAAAGAACAAAGTAAGAGAGGCAAGTGAGATTCTATATGTAAATCTTTTTAAAAAAAAAAAACTAAAATTCAAAAATGACTCTTAGAATTTACTTGCTCAAATAAATTTAGTCCTTAGTTATCCATAATAATGTCTATATATATTAACACATGTACCCCCAAAATATGTACATACATTATGTATCAAATAAATAAATAAATAAATAAATGATGTCTAAGTACCTGGCATTTCTTAAGCTCTCTCTTCAGCTGGAGAACTGTAACGTGCTGTGATCCTTCTTCCAGACTTGCAGTGCCTCCGATTCCTCGATATGAAGTGAGGACAGCCTTCCTGACCTCCTGGGTCATGTTAAACCACTCCTGCAATTTGTGTTGCTGCTTTTGGTTTAGTTTGACAGTATCTTTTAAGTCCACCAGGAAGGTAATGGCTTCTTCTATACAACATTGGTAACCCAAACATTCTCCTTGAAGCTGAGCTACTTGCTCCTCAAGAGAATGAATCCTATTTGTATCAGGACTCCCCTCTCGATGGATCTGGTTAGTTTGGCTGACCTTAGCCTGCTGGCTTTGCAAAGCTTCTCGAAGCAATTTAATCTCAAATTCCATGTCATCTATACGGTCTGACTCAGGGCTGAAGTTTACAATGGGTTTGTTTCTAATGTTCCGTGCTCTGTTGGCATATTTGAGAGAATTTAAGGACTCATCAAAATTTGAGGAGGATGGGCTGACACATGTAATCATGACAGTCTTGGCACTGCCTCCCAGGGAATCTTTCAGAAGCCGGGTAATTTTAGCATCCCTATATGGAATGTGTGAATTCTTCCTGTGTGGGTCCCCAAGAGCACTTATTACATTTCCTAAAGCCAGCAATCCACTATTGATTTGAATGGATTCTTTGAAGCGTTCACCAGTATTCCCCGTTTTGGTCACTCTTTCTGATCCTGCCAAATCCACAAAGTGGAACTTTGAGACAATATGCTGAGGGGAATACCATGATCCATCTTCAGCTGCCTCCATGTTTTTCTGAACTTGACAAATGCTGATTGTAAAAATCGCATGTGATCTGCTGGAGTGCTCATTCATTTGGGTGGTACTCGTATGTCTGGCTGCATTCCCCATCTCCAAAAGACTCATCACTTCATCTGCACTCTCCACATGGCATTCCTTGGCCCCAACAATCACTTAAAATAGCAACAACATGTTTTTAAGCCAAGTTTTCATCAAAACCTACTATAGTTAACAGTTACCATTTGCTAAACTGGCCAAGATAGTCTTTTTTTAAAAAGTCAACAGCATTTCAAATAATAATAATAACGTTAGCAAATAATTTTAGATAATCTCCCAAAGAAACTATTTTAACAGACAGCACTCATTTTAATGTTTAAATTCTAAAAACTATAATTTTTTTTAAACTATCTAGTTTATTTAGAGTCATGAGTCACATTCAATTCCTTATAATGACCGACAAGAGAAAAACTCTTCATTCCAGTCTTTTGATTTGTAAAGCCTAATAGATTAATCTTTTTTTTTCCTTGAGATGGAGTCTCAGCCTGTCGCCCAGGCTGGAGTGCAATGGCGTAATCTCAGCTCACTGCAATGTGTACCTCAGGTTAAAGTAATTCTCCTGCCTCAGCCTCCTGAGTAGCTGGGTTTACAGGAATACACTACCACACCTGGCTAATTTTTGTTTTATTTTTAGTAGAGATGAGGTTTTACCATGTTGGCAAGGCTGGTCTTGAACTTCTGACCTCAGGTGATCTGCCTGCCTGCACCTCCCAAAGTGCTGGGATTACAGATGTGAGCCACCGCATCTGGCCTAGATTCATCTTTTATAAATTAATTAAATCTATAATTCAAAAGAGGTAATCAGTAGATTCGAAAAATTAATTAGTATCAATTAAAAATCATTATGTTTTTTTTTTTTTTTCCCAATTTTGTTAATAATCAAACCATCCTTAGCTTTTAGGATTTTTTGGTATTGTGAGGTCATACTCAATGATGAGTAAAAAAAAAATCAATACAAATAAAGTTGGTTATTCATTTTTAAAACAGGTATGCTTGGCCGGGTGCGGTGGCTCAAGCCTGTAATCCCAGCACTTTGGGAGGCCGAGGCGGGTGGATGACGAGGTCAAGATATTGAGACCATCCTGGTCAACATGGTGAAACCCCGTCTCTACTAAAAATACAAAAAATTAGCTGGGCATGGTGGCGCGTGCCTGTAATCCCAGCTACTCAGGAGGCTGAGGCAGGAGAATTGCCTGAACCCAGGAGGCGGAGATTGTGGTGAGCCGAGATCACGCCATTGCACTCCAGCCTGGGTAACAAGAGCGAAACTCCATCTCAAAAAAAAAAAAAAAAAAAAAAAAAACAGGTATGCTTTACATAATATCAGGGTGCAAGGTAAACAGATGAAATGGCAATTAAAAGAAAACACATCGAACGCCATAATTTATTGTACTCAAAAAAGAAAAACAGTTGTTATTTCAATGGCAAAATGAACTAAAAATAAACCACATTTACTACCTGCATTATTTGTTTATATTCAAAAATATTTCAAAAAGAAGTAGGTGGACTTAGGAACTAAATCAGAGAAGAAAAGCTTCTGGTTTCATGGTCGAATTATATTGCCATAATTCCTGTTTACTCAGATTGTGTCACATCACTATTTCTTTAAAAAGTAATCACTTCACTTTCATTATTTCCATCATGACACCTTTTTTTTTTTTTCTTGAGACGGAGTTTCGCTCGTTACCCAGGCTGGAGTGCAATGGCATGATCTCGGCTCACCACAACCACCGCCTCCTGGGTTCAGGCAATTCTCCTGCCTCAGCCTCCCAAGTAGCTGGGACTAGAGGCACGCACCACCATGCCCAGCTAATTTTTGTATTTTTAGTAGAGACGAGGTCAAGAGATTGAGACCATCATGACACTTTTTAAACAATCCAGTCCATTTAAATACCTGTAAATCACAGTAAAGCTTTCATTAAATTTTTCTAATGTTAGGCTATAAGTTAGCACTCTAGTTTTCAAACCCAGACACAAATCACCGGGTAGCTTTATAAAAAAGAAAGTGGCAATGCCCAGGCACCATCTCAGACCATTTAAATCAGAATCCCTGAGAAGTAGGACACAGAAATCAGCATTTTTAAAAAGGTTCCCATGTGTACTAATTGTGCAGCAGTCAGCATGGACATCCCTGCTTCACACAGATATTCTAAAGAAATATGTCAAACAAATGCACTTTACTTGTGAGTGGGACATTATGTAAGACATACTGTAATTTAAGATAATTTGTAACATCCTTCCAAAATTTTTTCAGCATTATCAGATATGGAATATTTTGATCATCAAGTTTACCAAGAGTGATAGTGAAGTGTATACTTCTATGTCGCTTGATATCTTACAAGAAGCATGTATTATTATTATTTTTTTTTAGATGGGGTTTCGCTTTTGTTACCCAGACTGGAGTGCAATGGCACGATCTCGGCTCACTGCAACCTCCGCCTCCTGGGTTCAAGCAATTCTCCTGCCTCAGCCTCCCGAGTAGCTGGGACTAGAGGCGCGTAGCACCATGCCCAGCTAATTTTTGTATTTTTAGTAGAGACGGGGTTTCACCATGTTGACCAGGATGGTCTCGATCTTTTGACCTCATGATCCACCCGCCTCAGCCTCCCAAAGTTGCAGCCGCATGTATTATTTTTTAACTCTCTGATAAAAGATAAAAACATTTAGTAATTGTATTCCATAAGATAAAGGAGCTCAAAACATCAGTCTGAACTCTATCCAGAAGAGATAAACTGTACCGAATTATCTAGTAAGACCATAAACTACCATATATAGTTTCTTCCTCAAAAAACAAAAACAAAAATAATTTCTTCAACCATCCAGAAATGCCAGGACAGGGCTATAAAGAGGCAAGATTTGCTGCTTCCTGTAGACTGCTATTTGAACGACTAAAGACATCTTATTTTCCTGACTGCTAGGAACTTCCCTTCTCTGGCAGGATCTCCAGGAAGGTTTTACTAAATATGTTTTTTAGGAGAAAAAGACATCCAAGAATAGGCCGAGCATGGTGGCTCATGCCTATAATTCTAGCACTTTGGGAGGTCAAAGCAGGCAGATCACTTGAGCCCAAGAGTTCAAGACAGACCTGGGCAAACATGGTGAAACCCCATCTCTACAAAAGATATGAAACTTAGCCAGGCATGGTGGCAGGTGTCTGTAGTCCCAACTACTCGGGAAGGCTGAGGTAGGAGCATCATTTGAGCCTGCAAGGTTGAGGCTGCAGTGAGCCATGATCATGCCACTGAATTCCAGCCTGGGTGACAGAGGTGAGACCCTGTCTTAAAAAAAAAAAAAGAATAGTCACTGCAATATTATTAATAATAGTTAAAACCTGGAAACAGCCTAAATGTCTAATATTAAATAACTATAAATGCATTCATAAGACAAATTACCATGTAACCATGAAAAATATTTAATCACATGTGAAATTTTTCACAATATAAATATTAAGTGAAATATAAAATGCAAAACTGTGTGCAGGGTTGCAAGTATGTATTTTTAAAAATTACATGTATATAGAAAAAGAAATCTGCAAGGAAACACACCAAAAAGAGAAGTTGGTAAGTTGGTATTTCTAGGCTCTGGGATTAAAAATTATCTTTAACTTTCTTCCTTATACTTTCCTGTTTCCAAAATACTCTATGATGAACATATTAGCTTATAAACTAGAAAAGCAGAAATTGTTATTCTTTAAAATCCTTGCAGGTTGACCCTCCCATTCTAACCTTCTCCCATTTCCAACAAATGGGTATTGGTTAATGAAATTAATAGGCTACTAATGTAGAAAGTCAGACCTTGAGGAATACAACAAAAAACAAGGAAATGTCAATATGAAAATATATATATATATAAACTTAACTTAAAAAACAAAAAAGGAAGAAAGAAGCTGGGCATGGTGGCTCACACCTGTAATCCCAGCACTTTGGGAGGTTAAGCTGGGTGGATCACGAGGTCAGGATTGAGACAAGCCTGACCAACATGATGAAACTCCATCTCTACTAAAAATATAAAAATTAGCCAGCTGTGGTGGCACACATCTGTAATTCCAGCTACTTGGGAGGCTGAGACAGGAGAATCGCTTGAACCCGGGAGGCAGAGGTTGCAGTGAGCCAAGATGGCACCACTATGCTCCAGCCTGGGTGACAGAGAGACTCTGTCTCAAAAAAAGAGAGAGAGAGAGAGAGAGAGAGAGAGAGAGAGAGAGAGAGAGAGAGAGAGATTAATAATCAATAAGGCTATTCAATTTAAAAGTAAAAACAAATTCATTTTGCTTCTGTATCTGTTTAAAGATTCCTTGGAATATATCCAGAAACTGAATTACAGCATGTCTGTTTGCTAATGAAGGCAACTGATTAAGCAGGCTACTTTACCTGTGTTTCCTTTTTCATCTTCTCGGATGTGAAGATCCCTCATGGATGTCTCTAATTCTAGAAGATCTCTTAGGTCTTCCTTGTATACTTCTATATAAGATACTTTTACATTAAAGTCAATGCTAGGATGTTCAGAAATGCTTTGAAATATTTCTTGAATAGCTCGAGGAATGATACCCTTTTGGCTCTCCACAACTGAAGCTGAAAATTTAGAAAAAGAAAGAACACCTGGAACTTAAAACATAAGAAAAGCAACCCCAAATTTACAGTTATTTTATTACATTTCTCTATAAGTTTTTTTTTTTTTGAGACAGAGTCTTGCTCTGTTGCCCAGGCTGGAGTGCAGTGGTGCAATCTTGGCTTACTGCAACCTTCGCCTACTGGGTTCAAGTGATCCTCCTGCCTCAGCCTCCTGAGTAGCTAGGATTACAGGTACCACCACCAGGCTACTATAACTTTTTTTAAACCACAGCTACAAAATTCACAAGTTTTCACAGGTATCCCCTTACCAATAATTCATTAATACATTCATTCAACAAATCTTTATTTAGTACCTACTGTGTGCCAGGCACTATACTAGGACTCTGGAATCCAACAATAGACAAAACAGAGAGAAAAGAAATCCCTTCCCTGGTGAGATTCTGTGAGGAAAGACAGAAAATAGCAAAAAAGAGTAACTGGTAAGTTATTAAAAAGTGTTCATTGTACCTGGAGGAAAAAAAATAGGGCAGGGTAAAGGGACTAGAAGCCTAACTACCAGCGGGGAGGTGCTTGCAACTTTAAACAGGAAGGTTATGGTGGGCATCATTTAGAAGGTGACATCTGAGCAAGAGTTGAAAGAGGCCAGGCGCAGTGGCTTATACCTGTAATCCCAGCACCTTGGGAGTCTGAGGCGGGTGGATCACTTGAGGCCAGGAGACCAGCCTGGGCAACATGGTGAAACCCCATCTCTACTAAAAATAGAAAAATTAGCTGGGCGTGGTGACTATGCCTGTAATCTCAGCTATTTGGTTGACTAAGGCATGAGAATCACCTGAGGCTGGGAGGTGGAGGTTACAATGAGCTGAGATAGTGCCACTGCAAGCCAGCCCAGGCGACAGAGAGAAACTGTCTCAAAAAAATAAAATAAAATAAAATAAAAAGATTTAATAAGAAAATATATTTGGAAAGCCCAGGAATGAAACAGACGTAAATGGCACAGGTGAATTTCAAAGTAGGTAGATGCGGTAGATGTCCATTTTAATATAAATGATAAAACTATATGGGGTGGCATTTTATTCCATACTATGGTGGCTCACACCTGTAATCCCAGCACATTGGGAGGCCAAGTTGGGTGGATTACTTGAGTTAAGAAGTTTGAGACCAGCCTGGGCAACATGGCAAGACTCCTTCTCTACAGAAAAAAAAAAGAAAATAAAATTAGCTCGGTATCGTGTTGCACACCTAAGGTCCCAGCTACTTGGGAGGCTGAAAAGAGGGGATTTCTTGAGCCTAGGAGGCAGAGGTTGCAGTGAGCCAGGAGACAGAGCATGGGTGACAGAGCAAGACTCTTTCTCAAAAAATAAATAAATATTTTATCTTTCCCAATTCACTGTTCATTAAATACTAGATCCAGAGAGGTGGCTCTTGGCTCATAAAAAGTCCTTCTACACAAAGGGATTCCCCTGCTGACTCCATTGCTAGGATATTCACTACTAGTGGGAGCCATGTTCTATAACTGTTGGTGCTTCTGTTTACAATAGCAAAAACCTGGAACCAACCCAAATTCCCATCAATGATAGACTGATAAGGAAAATGTGGCACATCTACACCATGGAATACTATGCAGCCATAAAAAACTATGAGTTCATATCCTTTGCAGGGACGTGGATGAATCTGGAAACCATCATTCTCAGCAAACTGACACAAGAACAGAAAAATCAAATGACACATTCTCACTCACAGGTGGGTGTTAAACAATGAGAACACATGGACATGGAGGGGAGCATCCCACACTGGGGTCTCTTGCAGGGGGCTAGGGGAGAGACAACAGGGGTGGGGAGGTTGGGGAGGGATAACATGGGGAGAAATGCCAGATGTAGGTAACAGGGGGATGGAGGCAGCAAACCACATTGTCATGTATGTACATATGCAACAATCCTGCATGATCTGCAAATGTACCCCAGAACCTAAAGTACAATTAAAAAAACATGTTGGTGCTTTTAGATGACATATAATTCTAAAGCAGAAAATAGCTGTAAAAAGCAGGAAACTGGCCCTAGGTAAGACCAACCTATTTCACAATCCTTTGCACTAAAATATCTTTCTCTTTACATCATTTATTATGATCTGGGTGGAATCTCAATCACTGGAGTACAATTCATTTATGTTAACGAGAATGCTTTTTTTTTCAGTTAGAAGAGTTATCTTAAGAGATTGAGAATGCTTTTTTAAAAAAATTCTTGTATTTTATTTCTTCGCACATCACCAAGTGTATCTGTTCTGAGATTTCTGGATGGCGTGAAAAGGTGCAAGGAGCTATAGAGTAGAAAGGGATAATAAGAAGAGACAGGAAAGCAAGCCAGAGTCGATGGTGACAGAAAACGTGTACAGAAGACAGGTGCAGAAAGGCCTGTCACACCCAGGCCTAGACGTCAGTTCAAGAGTGAGGAAGGGAACATCTCTACACCTCTTCTCCTCCAACACTATCTAAGCCCACAGCTTCTACAACCCAGAACACAGACTAGTACAATAACATTATGAGTGAACACTTATTTCTGTGCCCCCTTGTTTCAAAAAGGAATTAAAGCAACTTTACAAAAAGGCGTAGGAGGGACTCAGATACTTCTATATCAGTGTTCACAGCAACATTATTTACAGGAGCTACAACGGAGGAAGCAAACCAAATGTCCATCAAAAGAACGGATAAATAAAACACAGTATACACATACAATGGAATGTTCTTCAGTCAGAAAAAGGAATGAAGTTCTGATGCTAAGTGAGAAAAGCTAGACAAAGAAGGAAAACTACTGTATAATTCCACTTCTTTTTTTTTTTTTTGAGACATGGTCTCACTGTGTCACCCAGGCTGGAGTGCAGTGGTACAATCATGGCTCACTGCAGCCTTGGCCTCCTGGGCTCAGGCAATCCTCCCACCTCAGCCTCAGAAGTAGCTGGGACTACAGGGTTGCTCCACCACATCTAGCTAATTTTTTTTGTTTTTGTTTTTTTGTAGAGACAAACTCTCACAAGTTTGACCAGGCTAGTCTCAAACTCCTGGCCTTAAGCAATCCTCCCACCTCAGCTTCCCAAAGTGCTAGGATGTATGATTCTACTTTTTTTTGAGACAGTCTCGCTCCGTCAGGCTGAAGTGCAATGGGGCAACCTCAGCTCACTGCAACCCCTGCCTCCCAGGTTCAAGCAATTCTACCGCCTTAGCCTCCTGAGTAGCTGGGACTACAGGTGCCCATCACCACACCCTGCTAATTTTTGTATTTTCAGTAAAGATAGAGTTTCACCATGTTGGCCAGATGGTCTCAATCTCCTGACCTCGTGATCCACCCACCTGAGCCTCCCAAAGTGCCAGGATTACAGGAATGAGCTACTGTGTCCGGCCCACTTTTATGTGTTTGGTTTGGTTCTGTTTTTTTGAGACAGAGTCTTGATCTGTTGTCCAGGCTGGAGTGCAATGGTGCGATCTCAGCTCACTGCAAGCTCTGCCTCCCAGGTTCAAGCAATTCTCCTGCTTCAGCCTCCAGAAGCTGGGATTGCAGGTGCACAGCACCACGCCTGATTAATTTTTTGGATTTTTAGTAGTGATTGGGTTCACCATGTTGCCCAGGCTGATCTCAAACTCCTGAGCTCACCACACCCGGCCTTCACTTCTATGAACTATCTAGAACAGGCAAATTCAAAGAGACAGAAAGTAAATTAGGGATTATCAGATAATGTGGGGAGAGTTATTGCTTAACAGGTCATAGCTACTGTTTGGGTGATGAAAATTTTGGAAACAGTCATTATTATTGCATTAACAATTAATAGATGCTACAGAACTCTAAACTTAAAAGTAGTTAAAACAGTAAGTTTGATGATCTGTAAATTTATATGTACTTTATCACAATTGTAAAAACAGTAAAAATAAAGTGTATGAGATAAAATTTAAAATAAGTGGAGGGAAAAACTGGGACTTAAAAAGTTTTTGTAGACTAATTTTAAAAACAATGCCCATCATTTTTAGCATTGTTCCCTGGAAAATATATTCAAAGCAACAAAGAGTTGACTTACGAATAAACCTTAAAAACAGCTTGCTTCCAAGTTGAAGATTACCAAAGATTAGGGTTTTGGCAACAATATTCTGAAAATCTGAGTTTCCATCAACTTGTATGGCTGCCTTCCCCTAATTTAAGATGCAAGACTGCCATCATGTGGCAAGTAAAGCAAGTTGTGGGTTTTCATTTAATACAGTACAAACGAAGATTCCCTTTTAAGAGCTTATAGGAACTAGCCTGTGGGAAATATCTAAACCTTCCAAACTATAGTCTAGATAAGCAATCTTGATTATCCAGAATAAATAATTGACCAGAAATAGCTCATTTATTCCCCACATCAATAAAAAAACTTAATTTCAAATATTTATAATAAAGCTCCAATATGTATTTTGATAACTTAAATATAAAATTGGCAATATTAGTCTTATATTCCTGAAATAATCCATTTCCAAGAGAAAACCTGCAAAGTTTTATACCTCAACAGCTATCATTTAGCTATTACATGGTATTTAAAGAGTTCACAAAAGTTTTTGGAAAAGGCTCTACTTTGTAAAGGTAAGTCCAAGGTTCTCAAAAGCAGGAAAATGAGTATTAACTTAAATAAGCATCATATTTAAAAATAAACTCAGGCGTGGTGGCTCATGCTTGTAATCCCAGCACTTTGGGAGACCGAGGCAGGGCAGAACACTTGATCTCAGGTATTCGAGACCAGCCTGGGCAACATGGCAAAACCCTGTCTCTGCAAAAAAATACTAAAAAAAAAAAAAAAAATTAGCTGGGAGTGGTGATGTACCCCTGTAGACCCAGATACTCAGGAGGCTGAGGTGAAAGAATGTCTTGAGCCCAGAAGGTTGAGGCTACAATGAGCTGTGATTGTGCCACTGTATGCCAGCCAGGGTGACAGAGCAAGACTCCATCTCAAAACAAAATCAAAAACAAAACATAGTGAGACCCTGTTTCTACAAAAAAGTTTTTAAAATAAAGTAAAACACATTTTAAAATAAGAGAGTTTCGTTCTGCCCTAGTGCCCAGCATGGTAACTTAGATAGTGCATATGCTCAATAAATATTCACTGGGGGGAAAAAAACATTATTTGCACGGTCAACAATCAAAAAGCATGTAAGTGACCCACAACTGGTATCCTATAGAGACATTCTGGGAAATAGAAAATGCTCACTAATATACCAAAAAAAAAAAAAGCAACTTTTTTTTTTTTTTTTTAGTCTGATCTTATTTATTTGTTACTCAAAAAATCTTATTTCTGGCTGGATTCAGACTTAGAAGTAGAAGCTCGCAGAGACGAAAGTCTGCGTCTCTTCGCAATTTGTTCCTGGCGCTTCTCTTTAGCCTCCTTCATTCTCTTGGCCAAAAGTTTAGCATATTCTGCAGCCTCTTCCTTGTTTTTCTTAGTACGCTGCTTCTTCAGAGCAATACGCCGCCATTTGTGCTGCAGGACACGTGGAGTAACAAGACACTGAATCTTGGGTGCTTTGGTCCTAGGTTTCTTACCTTCTTTGTTTAAGGGCTTTCTTACAACATATTGGCAGACGTCATCTTCTTTAGAGAGACTGAAAAGTTTGCGGATTCTGCTAGCTCTTTTAGGCCCCAGGCGACGAGGCACGGTGGTATCAGTTAGTCCAAGAATATCCTTCTCTCCTTTCTTTACAATAACCAAGTTGAGAACGCTCAGATTAGCATCCACAATGTAACCACGAACTGATTTTCTCTTTCTTTCTCCAGTTCTCCTTGGTCTGTAACAGGAATGCCCCTTACTCAGTAGCAGGCGGACACGGCCATGGGTCAAGACACCCTGCTTCATAGGGAAACCTTGTTTGTCATTGCCACCACTGATTCGGACCACATAACCCTTCCATTCTTCACCCAGAGCGTCAGCGGCAACTTCTGTCGCCATACGCTTCTCATAAAAAGTACGAAGTTTACGTTCATCGTCCACTTCAATGAGTTTCTGGCAGCCAGTGGCTGGGAAGGAGATGTTCAGCTTCATCTTGAAACAGCTATGCGCCTTTCAGGCACCACGGAAAAGAAAGAGCAACTTTTTTCTTTTTTAAGACAGAGTCTTGCTCTGTCATTCAGGCTGGAGTGCAATGGCGCGGTCTAGGCTCACTGTAGCCTCTGCCTCCCAGGTTCAAGTAATTCTCTGCCTCAGCCTCCTGAGTAGCTGGGATTATAGGTGTGCGCCACAACACCTGGCTAATTTTTGTATTTTTACCAGAGACAGGTTTTGCTACGTTGGCCAGGCTGGTCTCAAAAGTGATCTGCCTGCCTTGGCCTCCCAAACTGCTGGGATTACATGAGCCACCAATCCTGGTCTGAAATGATATTTTACATTGTTAAATGCAAAAAGAAAGTTACAGAATCATAGGTATAATATCTCATTAAACAAACAAAAACCCAAAAACACTACATATGTGAGTAATATGAGTTATATGCATCAAACTATTATTTCTTTGGGGTGAGAGGAGCTGTCACTTTAATTTCTTATACATCACTTGCAATCCTTGTTATAATAAGCATTTCTTTTAATTAAAAAAAAAAAGGAGAAGGAAAACATCCAAAATGTTCTTAATGGTGGTCTATTTCTTCTGATAGAGAAAATTTTAAAGCAATTAAAAGCTGTTAGGACAGTAGGTAACTTTAATAACTTTTTCCCTTACAAAATTAAAATAGTACTCATAGTTTCTTTTTTCTTCTTCTTTTTTTTAATCTAATGCCAATTAAACATCTCAGGAATCATGGTTTCTTAATTAAAAAAAACCAGTATAGCTATTATTTAAGTCACCAGCTTCTGAATATCTTATAACTCCTATTGGTATAAAGCACCTATTGAGTTATTAGGATTATAAAACATTTACCAATCCAAAAAAAAAAAAAAACCCTACAATCCTCAAGAAAAGCTAAAATATATACTAGAAAAAAACTGAATCCTTTTTATTGTGAGACCCTGAAACAATCTAGTATCTGTGATCTCCTAATCCTACAGAATATAGAGATTTTTCTCTTAGTTGGATAGTATTGGCCTCTAAAGGCTCCTCCATTTAATCTTTGGAATAAAGATTTCCTCAAACTACATGCTCTGATGTATATACATCATGCTCCCTTCCATGTATATAATGAGAGAAGTTTCTTTTTTAAAATTTTTTATTTTACTTTGTTTTAGCTCACATCTGAGCAGCTAGAGAAAAAGGCTTCTGATAGCCACGTTTTACATTTGTGAAATATGAAAATAGAAAAATATTGAGAGCCACTATATATACAGAGAATACTAAAATTTTAGACAATGATGCATATGTGCACTATTCAAAAGTTTGTTTTTAGTAGAAAAATATCAATACAGTAAACAATCTTAACAGAGGACTTGGCTGTCAAGTCCCTGACTCTATTACCAGACACTTAACTAAAAGGATTTCCAAGGTTCCCTCCAGCTCTACAGAAGATCCTATAATTCCATCTTTTCTAAATTATAATTACAAGCAGGAGAAATTATATCCTAAAATATTGTTTTTAAAAATGAAATCTGGCTAGAATATGAAAAAAAGATACCTTACATAATAAATTTTTCCTACTCTCCCTATGTCCTGATTGTGGGACTCAATATTTACAACTGGCTTGTTAAAGGATGCAAAATCTGATTATGTTAACTAACTCACTTACCTCTACTTTAAATTCTGTTCAAAACAACAGGGGCTGACCACTGAAAACTGTCTTAAACTTCTTTCCTCAAGCAAATATAATCCTAAATTAGATTACTTAATAAAACTTCAATATTTAAAAACAAATCTTTCAAAGACAATGATCTTATGATCACATTTGATTATATTATTCATTCCTTCACTATTCAATCAATATGCTAAGCACATACCATGTGTCAGGTATTGGTCATATTTTAGCTTCTTTCTAGTGTCACAAATAAAAGTCAAAGAGTATGAGAATCTTACCAACATGGCCTCCTCCGATAGTGTATGTCTTCCCAGATCCAGTTTGTCCATAGGCAAAAACAGTTGCATTATAGCCCTCAATGAGTGACAACACTAGGGGCTTTATACATGTATTATAAACTTCATCTTGAGTGGAATTTTTGCCAAAAACAAAATCAAAAGTGAAGACTCTATCTCTCCCAATGATAATTTGCTGGCTGTTTGGAATAACTCTCACACAAACTTGATGATTATGAAGAACTTCTTTGTAAAGCAGAGGTCTAATTCGTATAGCAACTTTTACTGGTATTTCTTCCATGGCACC